TATAAGTCTTAGGACTTGTCATCTTGCAACATAAGTCACAGTGGTCGAAGTTTTAGTTCTTTGAAGAACATTAACTTATTGTTGATGTTTTTCTTAAAAAATAATTGGAAAAACTTTTCTAATGGGTGGAAGTGGAACAAGAAGTAGAATTTAGGATTGAGTTAGAGAGAATGATTCGGTCAACCCTATCAAAAAATACATGACATATTTTTGTTCCTTTACTCCACATGAACATACTCAGATAATTATTCAATTCTTCCTAAATTGTCTTCAATTTGGTAAAGTACATTGCATCAAAATCTTAAACTTGATGCAAGTTGAAATATTATAGACCTATTACTTTGTTGATACCTATCTCAAAGGTCTTTTCAATTATCAAATGCTGAATTTGAATAAATGATACTAACTGATATTTTACTATAAATATAATTTAATATTTAGGAAATCACTACATTGTTGTTCCTATTTCATGCATATAATAAAAATGGATCATCATTGGTCAGTTTAAGGATGGATCTATCAATAAATCTAGTTTTGTTCTTTACTAAAAGGGCATTGATCATAGCCCTATTTCACGATGTAGTTGTCTCCAATCAATTGTTGGGGCATACGAATCAAACTAAGATTATTAGAATGATGTATCATTCACAAAAGGTTCAAGGAAGTCTTTAATGATTCTATTGATTGTGATGTCATAGTAAAAATATGAAGTAAAAAAATGTTAATTTGACATAGTTTCTAAGTGTATGTGATGGCGAGTGGGACCCGTCTCCATAAGCTCAGGAGACACCGGCAGTTCGAGTTCAGCCCGATCAATGCGCGAAGACGAAGGAGCCTGGCTTTCGCTACACAGCCTAGCCCTTCGGGATGACGACATTCCACCTCCGCGACGACGATGAGCTCGAGCTCACCCATATCTTTCTTTGTACTTTCATGTTGACTTGTTGGGCCTCGCATTTGTGTGTTAACGGGCCCAATTCTATGTGTGTGTTGTTGTTTGTGTCTCCCTTTCTTTAGGGTTTTATTGGGTCTCTCTTTTGAGGCCCAATTAAAACCCTAAGGGGGGGGGGGACCTATGTGTCTTTCCTTTGGGCCTCTTTTGGGGCTTATTTGGGTCTTCATGAGGCCCACTTAAGCACCGTAAGAGGGCCCTCCTCTTTCTCCTTTTAGGGGAGCTTATTGGGTCTCTCTTTAAGAGGCCCAATAAGCCCCTTTGTAGCCTTTTGTGGCATATGGGCTTGAGGGCCTCAAGTGGGCCCACCTCCCCTTAGCCCACTTGTGGGCCCCATATAAGGGGACGTAGGACCCCCCCTCAAGAGAGCGCCGTATTTTTGAGAGAGATTATCGTTTTGTGAGTACCTTCTCCGTGATCTAGGATAGGGAGGGAAGGAGGAAGAGGAAGGCCGTCGATACCCCCTTCGAGGACTTCGTTCCTCGTGACGCTGCTGCCCGAGAAGTCCCGCCGCCGCCTGAGACCACTGCCGCCGCCGGCCATCTCAGTGCCGCCCTGGAGTTCGCCGCCGTCACCGGACGAAACGGTCGCGGTTGCCGCTGCAACCGCCACCGCCTCTGCTGGAACCCCGTCACGCCATCGTGACGAAAGGGGCTCGCTTCGTCTCCCTACGAGCCGTCGCCGAGCACTCCGCCGGAGTCTCTCGACTCCTGGTTCGTCTGCCACCTCTTCCTCCGGAACTCCACCATAAACTCGCCGGAGCCGCCCTCCGCCGCTCCGCCCAGTCGCTGGCCGTTCGCCGACGAACGCCGACCTGCCGCCGACGTCGGAAGAGACCCTGCTGCCGTGCCGACGAGCCAGATCCAATCCAAGCTCCGCACAGGCCCCCGCCGAAGTTTCCCGACGATCCGCCGCCGTCGCGCCGTTTCCGGCGCCGCCTAGACCAGGAGGGCTCCACCCTCCCTGGTATCGCCGGCCGGATCGTCTCCTTCCTCTGCTCCGCTTCCCGGCGCCGCCAGAGAAGGCCGACCTTTCCGGCGACGGTTGGGTCTCCGCCCAACCGCTGACGCTCGGCATTCCCGCCGAAGCGCCGCTGACGCTCGGCCTTCCCGCCAAAGCGCCGCTGACGCTTGGCATTCCTGCCGAAGCGCCGCAGACGCTCGGCCTTCCCGCCGAAGCGCTGCCGCCGCGCGCGCCCCCGCGCGCCGGCTCTTGCGGCCCGCGCGCCCACCCGGCGCCACTGCCCGCGTGCCCTTCGGCCCACCAGCGGGCCCACGCCCACTAGCGTGCCCTTTGGCCCACCTGCAGGCCCACGCCCACGTCGACTGTGCCATGCCCTAAGACGACGACTTCCGTGACTCTCGACCAGGACCGACCGTCAACGCTGAGCATCGCTCTTCACCGGACGTCTCTGCCTTCGTCGAATCTCCGCTCCATCACGACCCGAAGGTTAGCTCCGTACCTCTTCCTCTTAAGTTTAATTATCTCTCGAAGGGTTTTCTTGGCTCGTCTCCTCCGCCATCAGGAGAACGTAGACAGGATAGGACGGTTATCGGATTGTGACTTCCGACGCTGTGCCAGATTCGCCACCGTTCGTGAGCTGCAGCCCTAGGCTACCTCATGACGATTGTTCCGCCGTCTGTCTAGACGTGGACCGAGAGGGCCTCTCACTTACCATCGTCAAGTGTTTCCCAAGTTGTCATGGGTTGATCACGCATATTGGTACGCCTACCTATGTTTAGGTTACTTAGTCAGACCTAGAGTCTAGGGTCCAAACATTCTTATCAGATCGGTCCGACTGCTCCATCCCAGGACTCGAGTTTCATTGATTAGGTACAGGAGGTTCTTGCCCCGTCCTGCATCAGTATGATATAATTATATATATAATACTTCAATAGTATTACAAGCATGACAAGATTCAGATTCTTATATATCAAAACCACAAGAATAAGCACAATTTGTCTGTAATGTCACATGTGTTTTAAAATAATATTTGTGACGCAATCAATCGAGCAATAGATAGAGAAAGAAACTAACCTTTTATTTGTTTCACATGAATGTAGAAACCTTCTAGATCAAGTAATAAAGAGGGTAAGGAAGGAACACACTTGCTCTAATACCATATTACACTAGGACTTGAACATGTACTTAGAGTGAGAACAAATGAACCTATGGTGATGGAGGGAGAAATAGTGAGAGAACACAAAAAGAAAAACCCTCAATTAGTTTAATGAGAACATAATATTTGATACAAGTGGTGGCACATGTGGACATACACTTGTACCTAAGACAATGAAAATTTTCTCCTCTTTTATTTTGTGCTTATATTGAAATCAAATCAAATGATTTTTTAAATTATGAAATCTCAACTTTGATATTAATCTGGTGTTGATATTTTTGTGCAAGTTTTTAAGCAAATGACTGAATATTTTTTAAGTAAAAAATAGCCAAAAAATTAAGTGTGTGATTAATATTTAACCTATAAATATATTATATTATGTATAAAATTATATTTTTTATGTGCAAAAAAATTGAATTAAACAATGCATCAATGCATCAATGCTTGTGGTTTTATAACAATCATATCTTAATTGGGAAGTCAAAAGGCAATAAATTAGGTTGTTTACTATTTCGAAGAAGATCAACTTTCACAATCATTGGCATATGATTTATAAATTTTAAAGATCAAGAATAATGAGTGATTCTAAAAATTCACATATCAACCTTGTAAACCCTGAAAATATTCCTAATCTTATAGGATTCACAAGGCATTAAAAGTTTTAGTGAATGCTATGAGCTCCACCACATGTTCTTCATGTATGTAAAATGAATAAAATATATTATTTTTATTGGTCAATATGTCTCTAATCATATTATTGAGAAATATTTGAGAAAATTAATTGGTATACAAATAAAGTCAACTCGATAGAATTAAGATTCGATTAATATTTTAAGAATGTTAATTTATTTAAGTTTGCAAGAGACTTGGTGTAAATGGAATATTAGCTGATTATACTAATAATTGAACCACTATTAAGTTTCTATTTGAATTTTTTGCAAACTTATAATATTTTTAATTTTTTGTCATAGATTTTCAGTGTTACTGTTGTTATATTGAACTTCAAAGTGAAGTTTAATAATTTATCAAGGTTACTGTAGGCTAGACATCAAGATTATCCCTACGTTGCTCTCTTGAATGTTTATTCCAAGGATATTCTTTGAAAAACCCTTTGAGTTACATTTGGAAATATTCACTTTTATTAATTTTATCATGCAGTTAATATTAATATGACTACTTTTGTGTATAAATTTTTTTATTGTGATTTTGATTCTATGATCTCTTCCTTTCTTCTTTTTCCTGGTTTTGATTTATTCTCTTCTCTTTTTGCATTTCTTCGTTATTTCATTTCCTTTCTAGTTTTCTTTCAGTGATATTTCCCCTCTGTATTTATTTTCTTTGCCGACAAGGTTTTTTTCCTATAATTTTTATGAGCTTCATTCTTGTTTTTATTCCTTTCTATTTTTCTCTCACTCTTTTGTTTTTTCCCTTAGTTTCCTTTTTTTTTTTAGTGTCATTTTTATTTATTTCCTTTGTTTTCTCGTATTTTTGTGTTTCTATTCACGGGTTTCACTCCCTCTCCTTTATTTTCACCTTTATTTTCATCAATTTTAATTAATTACTACTATTTCCCCTTAATTTTGGTTTTTCTACTCGCTCTTTCCATTCACTCCTTTTTCCTTGTTCCGTGCCAAATAGTGAAGCCGAAGCCCGTTAAAAACCGGTCCGGGTCGGGTGGTCCTCCACTTTGGGCTCACCGGGCCCAATGACACCCGCAGTCGAAAACACGTTTGGACCGGACCATGTGGCCCATTTAGGGGAGAAAAGCCCATCATGCTTAGTATCACCTTCCAAATCGACGTCATTCCTCTTCAGGAGAAAATAACGTAGAACCATTTATTTCTAGCCGATCATTCCGATAGTTTGCTCCGTCAACCTGATTCCGGGACTTCCATCCCTTCCCGCTCTCCGGGGATCTCCTCCTCTGCGATGAGGAGCCGCCTCGCTTCTCCTCCCGCGCGACATCGCGTCCCCGTCGTTTTGTTTCTCCTCTTCACTCTGTTGTGGTTCTCCTACGGGCGGAATGGAAATGACACAAAGGCTTCCGGGAAAGAGAGCAGCTTCGCGGACATGATCGATCGTGCCTTGCAGAAGGAGTTCCCGGAAAGCGAGCAGAATGGGGGAGGTGCGTAGATCTGTGCTCCATTCATCATCATTTTTCTCTTTTCCCGTCTTTGCCGACTCGTTCGGGTGTTCCATTTCTTGCTACTGACCGTTAGAGTGAGCTGTACACAATTATTGTGTTCTATATTCCACTCGGTGTCCTTACACTCGGTTTGTTCTCGAAGAACGTTTCTTGGAATGGGACTCCGTTTTGCTTTCGGAGGTCGAAGGGGATCCTACTTGCGCAATAGGTTGCCTTTTATTCTTGCAATTAAAGTCATTGTCGAGTGTTTTGGTGACCGCATCGGGTTGAAGAAAGAGCTTCTTATGTTGGATCCGACGCATCCTGCCGAGCGAAGCAGTGTTTCATTTTAGTCGGTGCCATGGATTCAACGTGCGACTGTATCTCTGGAAAAACCGTTCGATTGTGAACCACCCTCTTCCCTTTTCATGTTCTAGTGTTGTGATTTATCATTTTCATTTCAAGAGAGTTCGCGCATTCTCTTGAATTTAACATTTTGGCTGCTGATTCTCACGTAGTAGGAGAATACTCTTTCTCACTCCTGTAGAATGCTGTTACAATTTTCCTAGGTATGTATCATTAGTGCTGTATGGACATTTTGGCTGCTGTATGTATCATTGGTTCTTCTATTTACTCGCAGATTTTTTTTCCTTATCATCTTAAATAATGTTGTGTTTTCCGTCATTGACATCACAAAAGAGTTTGATTGTTCTGCCAAACATTGTATTGTGATAGCTGTTTCCATGTATTTCTCAGAAACTGATGACGGAGACTTCAACAACAGTGTTGCTGGAAATCAGGTTTTCTTTTAGATCTTTTATTCTCGAGTTGATTATCTTGTTCATTTGATCGGAGTAACTGTACATATAGGTTCATCTGCAAATTTCAAACTGTATTTTAAGTTTTCGGATTTTTTTGACCATGACTCGACTGATTGTGGCTTGACATATTGAGTGAATGCGGTAGGAGGGTGTGCAAAGTTTTGGAGAAATTTCTCACCTTCTGGGGACGGCTTTAATGCTGTACATATATAGAGTTCGATCTCCTTCGAAGGAATTCGAGTAACTGAAGATAATCCTGTTTATCTAAAAATTTAACTTCTCATAAGTATCTTATTTTTTTGTTTCGGTTTTTTTATTGGATGTCCTGATGCCCTATTTTCTTTCGTCATACTTAATATTCGCTGCTTTCTTGGGCGTGGATAGTTTTTTAAAAATATTTCTCTGATGACGATTCAAATTAAATGTAAAACTTTCATGTCTTTTGTTCTCCTCAGTGATCAATAACTAAGGTACCCTTTTTTTAGAGTAAATAATTTTCCAACATTTTTGGTGCTTGTAGAATATAATTAAATTACTACGCAAATATCGTAAATCAACTGGAGTTGCAAATGGCACGAGTATATGGTTATAGAAGCGTATGTTAATAATTCTGAAAGCTTTCTCAAACATTAGATTTTTTTCACCAGGAATCGTGGAGTTTCTGTTGGCGTTTGAATTCTATTGCTAAACACTTATGGGTATAATTTTTTATCTACGAGGATAGTCTAAGTTCTGTCACCAAGAAGCTTTTACTTAGAAGTTAAATCATGTTCGTGATCGTTTGAGAGACCATTCCCAATCTATGGCAAAGCAAGGTTGGTGATAATTTATGAATTCCGATGATGCTGGATAGAAAGTGATTTCTTGGTTGGCCTTCATGGATAGCTTGACTTTCAGTTTTTTTTCTTTTGTTACTTCTTTCTTATCCTCCGATGCGTGACTCTCTCACCATATGTGCCATGGTTTCTTCTGACACCTCTTACTTTTCAGTAATATAAGGTATCTTTATTCATACATTTTTCACCCAGCTTTCCCGGTAATAATAATATAACATTAGTCACTTGTTTACCCAAATGTACAATGAGGAATTTTCCACTATGTTGGCAACGCAAATAAGTTTCATGTATATATAATCATTTTATTTACAGGGTAATAAAAAATGTGATAAGCCTTATTTTATTCCATGTCTGACTAAGGCTCTATTTTTACATCACAACTGTGACGTTGTGTGATAGTTGGTTGGTTCACTATTCAATAACTAGTTAAGCAATTGTGTTTTTGATGACTCATAGATAACCGAACTTTGTCATTCTTCATCTCTGTTCATCAATCATTTGGAAGGACATGGTGAACCATACATTTACGGCGTTTTTTAAAAAGATATTTCATTACTTGACCTCAAGATGTTTCATTTGTTATTTTGATGCTCAGATACAAAACTATTTAGATGGGATATTAGATAACGTTACATTAAGCAATATATTTCCTTTGTTTTCTAGAAAACTATGATTTGAGGGACAAAGTCTGTTTTTTCCTAAAAAAATGATCTGAATCAGCGGGAAAAGCATGAAGTAATAAGATGGCTGGCAAAGACAAATTCTCAATGTACTGATAAACTTCTTATTGTGAATTTTTTTCTAAAGTCTTCACGTTTTTTTTGTTTATCTTAAATCTGAAAGTTCAAGTCCTTAAGCAAATAATGAGCTTACCCATTAGCAAATATCGTGATGCCATTGATGGATAATCTTTTAGGAGAGTCATTAAATGCAACATGGTGCACCAAGATTGGGTGATTTTGCACCGTTCTCATTCTGTAAAGCGTTTGGAATGATCTCTCCTTATGACCTATGCATATTGATAGTAATATGCATCTATACGTTCTGTTTAGTTTTGTTCCATTTATTTTTACTCTTTAAAGGGTTGGCTCTTGTTCCTTATCCTCTAAGAAATGAATACAGGCATATATCCCTGCTCCTAGGAAAACCGATGTTAACATAATATGCGTCAATGCCAGACTCTTTGCATTCCTACTGTGCACTGGAAAACAAATTACAGATGTAAAAGTTTCTCCTTTATTTTCTGTTATTATACCCCAGCATATTTATCTCAGTGCTTTCTTTTCACCAGGCAGTCCTTGAAACTGTAGCCAGAGTCAAGTCAAATAAAAATGACACAAAGGAGAAGTATGCAATCTCTACTTTATTTGGTAACTGGCATTTATAAATTATTTGTTTTTTTTTTTTCAACAAAGCTGAAAGTCAGAATGCTCTAGTTCTAAATTAATACTGCCTATGTGAATTTATGAGTCCTGTTCACATCTTCATTTTCAGGTCATTTCAGTTTCATGACGTTTTCAATTTGGACCATGAGAATCATGGAGAGGACATGCCTACTTTAATTGATCGGAAAGTATGACTCGCTATACTCTGAGATTCTTGATTCTATTAGAGTCCATTGCAGTGAAATTCCACCTGCCTTTGTTTCGTTGTCTGTAATTTCAGGATAATGTTTTCGTTATATCAAATCCCAAATCAAAATACCCTGTGCTGCAGCTGGATCTTAGGTACTCATTACTATTTTTTGTGAGATATTCTCATATAATTTATCTTCTTTGTTTGATCTTTGTTTATTGTTTATTGCAGGTTGATCTCTGATCTTGTAGTAGTCATTGTCTCTGCAGCTTGTGGTGGAATTGCTTTTGCTTGTGTTGGACAACCGGTTTGTGCCCCATTTCTTTCACCTATGTCTAAAAATGGAATATAAATTCCATGCGCATATAGTTTTTATTATTGAGAAAAGATAAATTCTACCAGCATATTTTTCCGCTTGCCTTAAATCGTCTGCTTTCAATTTTGCAAATTTTTTAAAGGAAAAGTAGATCTGTTAAGCTAATAACTTGATGCAGGTTATTACTGGATATTTGCTGGCTGGATCTGTTATTGGTCCTGGAGGTTTGAAATTTGTCAGTGAGTTGGTTCAAGTAAGGCGCTCTCCATTGCCAAAAATGCTTTCATAAACTAAAACATAGCCTCAGTGAAGAGTTTTTTTTTTCAATGTATCTTATTATATAATATCTCGGAAGGCTAATTTCATGCGTTCAGCTTGTGGGTATAAAAATGTAGTCTCTGAAGGTTAATGCCACGTGATCAATATATTTAACCTAACTTGTCTGTACAGAACTAAAATTCTTTGAGCATCCCTAAAGCATGTACTCGTTTTGTTCATTCTTTATTTATCTCAGAAAAAGTATTTGAGAATAGTCTTTTCCAGTAATGAGCAAACAGTCTGTCAACATGCAAATATCATGCGATAATCCATGCACTTGTCAAACCAATGATTAGTTACAACTTATGAGGATTGATAGGATTGTTTTCCACTCCACTTTAAAAAAATCGACTTACGGCCTTCACCTGTGGTACAAATAAATGGATCTTGTAGATGTGTTTGTTTCGCATATCAGCTGTGGAGCTCTCTTGATAACACACATATTTCAGGAAAATATGTTGGAAGGGAATAGGTTTAAATCTTGTTTTAGATAGAAAACAGAGATATGGTATGAACCGAGAAAAAACAGGTATACAGAGATATGATAGAAAATATGTTGGTTGTACAGCCCTTTTGCTATTTTTTATCGCAAGGAATTGTCGACTATAACTCCGAAATCTCTATTCTATGGTACTTATTCTTTTTCCTTATCTTCTATCATGCAAAAAGGACTCTTCTCAAGACTTTAATTGTCTTAACTACAAACTTTTAGGTTCAGATCGGGAAAGTACGAGGAGCCCTCGTCTCCTATTTAATTCTAGGTTATCAGTCTCTGAAAAAATTCTAGGTTGAGAATTTAATTTATTAAGCAAGTAAGAGTCTTAGATTGACGCATTAAGTCAGATTCACATTTCATTAGGTAATATACAACTTAAGCAATACATAGTTACGAACTAAACACTCTGAAATAGGATAGTGCCAGGCTATGCCAGTCCAATCTGCATGAGTCAGCCAAAAGACTGTAGTAGGTGAACTTTGAGCTTAGAACCTTTCTAAAAGATAGCTTTGCTTATCTCTTTAATGTTAACAGCTGCAATGAGACTTTTATGAATTATGATGCCGTTGTAAATTTGATATCTTGATTTGCTTTTGATAGGTCGAGACAGTTGCACAATTTGGTGTCATTTTTCTTCTTTTTGCATTGGGACTGGAATTCTCTACTGCTAAGGTCTGATGAGCTCAGTCTGACCCTCCCCCCCCCCCTCTCTCTCTCTCTCTCTTTTCATGCAAACATTCTTGTCTTCCAGTTTTTCTTTTCTATATTTTACGTTCATTCCAATTTCCAACATTATTCTGATTAATGCATACTATTCACCCAAATTCCCTTTTTGGAACATAGCATTTGAGATGCTTTATTTTCATCGAAAAAATTGTGACTTTTAGTCTCGTTGTGTGCAGCTTCGGGTTGTTCGAGCTGTTGCAGTCCTAGGTGGCCTGCTCCAAATTTTTCTTTTTATTTGCATGTGTGGGATAATCGCATCTGTACGTTTTTCCATCTGGTGACCAAAATGTCGTTTGGAACTTTTGTTAAAGCTTAAAACTTGATCATTCAATTTAGCTGAACTTGGAAATACGGAAAGATACTAGTCATATATACGGAAATAACTGAACTTACCGAAGGATGTTTTTCGTGCTGATAAACATGCTAAGTTGAGTCACCTGGATGAATCTCCTCCCCCTATCCCTATCGATTAAAGTGAGGAGATTCCAGCTTGCTTGCTTCCAGCATTAACGGCTCTTATTCACGAGGAATTGTATTTTTGGCGACTGCTTGACGTTAATGATATGTCAAAAAGTATACTAGTTTACGAACACAGTTGTTAGGAGTCATTTATTATTTCTTTCTGCGTGAGAAAGAAAGCATTATTTTTTCCTATCAGATACCATGTCGTTATGTCATCTGGATAAAATGCACACTTAACTTTTTTTTTGACAGTGGGTGGTCCCGCACTTTCATTATGATCAAAATTGTGAGGTTTTTATGGGAGATCTCTTCAGAAAGTGTAGTCACTTGCTTTTAGTGATTTTTTTGTGATTCATTATGTCTTTCGTAAAACCATATGACTGGCAGCTTGTGTGAGCTTTTCGTCAGTGGTTGGACGAAATTGAGATAAAAAAGACCCAGTTGTCAGAAAATGTTATTTCTTTTAACCTCGTTTCTGTCAGATATATGTGCATGTTGAGGATATTGTCTATCCTTGTGATACACAGTTTTTTCCCGCTTTTTACTCTGTGAATAATCCGCGTATCTTGCCATGGATGCCACTCCTGTAGTTTGGATCTGCAGCCTTGGAAGTACTGTCTCTAGTGCATGGAAAAATATTTTCTGTACTGTTGTTTTGCTGTTTTCCTTATTGCGGTTAACTTGTCTGGTTGTTGTGGCTTTTATTCTGCAGTTGTGTGGTGGTAAACTTTCTGAGGGTCTTTTCGTTGGTGCATTGCTTTCAATGTCTTCGACAGCTGTGGTACTTTTCTCATTTTATAATTAGTAATCCATATACTAGTAAGATGAGTTGTTAGCTTTGGTCTATTTTATATTATTCAATTAATAACAATAAATTCATGTTTAAGCTTGTATTATGGGGGAAGAAGGTTTTGATTTTTGGCAGGGGGTTGTGGTTTCGATTATCTGAGATGACAATTCTCAGTCTTGTAGTGGGTCATAAAAGAATGGGGGAAGACTATGCACTGACGACTTGAAGTGACATAATGTTTCTGTTGTGTAGCCAGTATAACAACATTATCTATGACACTGGAGTTTTGTTATATGGTGCTTCCTTTGTTTGCACCACAATTACGTCTTATACCGTGTTGTGTTGCATTTTCTTCCTTATATTATCTTATTTATCAGTGCATTTGTTCCGAAATTCTTAAAATAACATTTACATTTTGGATTCTCTCTTCTCTTTCTCTTTCCCTCAGATTTTAAAACAAAGAAATGTTGTAGCAATAACACTTACCAAAGCGCTGCTCTTTCCTCAATATAATTTTAGTTTTCCCTGTGATAATGCTTTGCATTTTGGCGTGTTTGAAACTCTCTTACGTTATGTTGTTGTGGGTTTTGTTTTCTCAGAGCATACTGATTACTTTTTATCCTCCCTGTCTAAGGACTTTGTGAGGTGCTGTCTGGGTTGTGTTAGCCTTCGTTGTGTTGGAAAAATGGATGGTTGGGTGTGGGTCTAGTGTCCATAGCAGTTTTCTTATGGGTGGTGGTAAGATATTTTCTTATCTTCACGGGTGTGCCTTCCTAGAGTTGCCTTGGCCTGAATGGGCGGTAGTCACCATGACTATGGATCGGAAGGTTCCGGGAGGACTCTGCCTCTAATAACACAGAAGACTAAGTTTTCTCCCTTTTTGAGGGGGGTGGAAAAGCGATAGACAGAATTTGAGTTAAACCAGAAATCGGATATTCCACTATTTCTCTGCTGGGCAAAATTTCATGCCTATTTGACAATGGGTATCAGTTGCCTCACTTTTAATGGGTGGATATTCAAAATTTTTAATTATTCGACAAGCAGTGCAGTATTATCAATTTTTAAAAAAAATAGAAGTACAGATTTTTTGAGATGAGATTAGATTTTTCGGCTTCATTAACCTATTGTCCTTGAATATGAAGTTACAAGCATTTTTAGGTGCACATTTTTAATGAAATCACCTTCATAAGAAACTGAATATTACCCCCCTATTATGCAGGTTTTGAAGTTTCTAATGGAAAGCAATAGTATTAGTGCTCTTCATGGTCAGGTTACGGTTGGTACACTTATACTCCAGGTGCTCATTTACCTACCAAACAGCCTTTCTATTTTGAAGGAAAAATTGCCATTATTGTTACTATTCATATACTGCACATGATGAACAATACACTCTATAAGATCTAATTGGTCTTAGACTTGGATATGCACCTCAATGGGAACACACGAGTCACAATGTTTTTCTTTACAGGATTGTGCGGTTGGTTTGCTCTTTGTATTGCTTCCTGTTCTGGGTGGCACCTCAGATATTCTTCAAGGAGTGATTTCCATGGCCAAATTGTAATCTACTACACTTGATTCTCCTTTGGAAAGGTTGATAATGCTGTATACTTTCTCTAGCTTACAATCTAACATTTGCATACTTTATGTGAATAACTGACCAACAAAGTATGGATTCTAGAAGGATTTCTCATCAGTCTTTAAATGGATGGTAGACGACTGCACATATTTTAAAATTATGGGAATCTTTCTCTCCCGTGTTACTTTTACGGTCTTACAACAAAAACTCTATTGGCACATATTATCTTTTTTAATGTGAAGTCACGTCGTGCTGTATTTGGCCAATTAAAACTAAACTGCAATTCACTGTGCTTTATTTTCTTTTGACAAGGTTGGTCGTGCTGTGTACATTCTTGGGTTTTCTATCAATATTGACTCGTACTTGTGTCCCATGGTTCCTCAAGCTTATGATAAATCTTTCATCTCAGGTATTACTATGCTTTAACTTTTATCCAAAAAAGGTAAAAGATCGAGCTTAGTTATATAGCAGTATCCGTTGCTTGCATCAAATTCCTTAAAAAGGTTTCATGTCCTTTAATTTTTTTTACTTTGGCCAATTGATATCAACACTTTTTCTTTTGGTGCAGACAAATGAACTTTATCAGTTGGCTTCGGTGGCATTCTGTTTACTTGTTGCTTGGGTGTGTCCTAAATCATTCTCGTTTTCATTTGGCCGAAGTATATATGATTTTCCTCTTATACTAGCTGCTGTGTCGTTGACTATTATAGAAATGATCATTATAATATCCTGACTTTGAATGAGAACGGGTGCATTAGACATCCTTGATTTCTTATAACGTTTGGAGAACAGAATCACGGTAATTTCGAAGTATCCTCAAGAAGTTTTTCATCGACATGCAATGAATCCTTATGGCTCATACTTTTGACCGTCTGTGTTAGTTTGATGTAATCGCAAATCAAGTTCTTGAATTGACCGTCTTATATTTATTTGAATTATAAAACAGAGTTAATTTTATAGTCAAACGGAGCATTCTAGTGTGTTGAAATGCTTATATTTCAGTTGGTCTATCTTCTCTTTTAAAGCTTTAGAATATGGTTCTGTTTTGACATATTATAACCGGCAATAGTCCAGTGCCTTATTTGTGAATTCAGTTACATTAATATTCTATCCCAAAAACTACACGATAAATTCACAAAATTTCTGCAACATTGCTGTTGTCTTGACACAGTTAGTAAAGTTATGCTTGCTGTTATTTTGTGACATCTTAGTTACAACTAGTGATGTGTCCGGTAAGATGTGTTCCTGAGTTCCACATGCATCATCTTTGACTTAAAGATCAGTTGACTCTTTTAACTGTTAACCAACGTCAAAGGAATTTACTATTTCATCAATGGTAAAAGATCCTTTTGTTCAGATTTTCAACTAATTACTCTGCACTTGTCGAAATTCTCAAGGTGCTGGGTCGTCCTTCAAGTATATGCTGTGCCTCTTAAGTTTATAATTGATGCCTTCAGTTTTGAAACATCCTCTCTAAACATGATTTTTTAAAGTAGTTATCTTTTGTGATTCCAGTGTGGCGATAAATTGGGTTTGAGTCTTGAACTGGGTTCATTTGCTGCGGGGGTAATGATCTCAACTACTGATCTTTCACAACATACCCTTGAGCAGGTAATTTTTATTTCTGTGCCCATCTCTCCTAAATGCAATCTTTCGTGTACCATCGATCAATATCTACTTTCATATGTTTGATAGAAATCTGGACGCAAATATTTTCTTCTTGAAAATAATATATTTTATCTGGCCATTTCGTAACTTACAACATGTGTTACTTTCACTGCCAAAATTCGGGTGCAATGTTTGGTCGTAAATGATGTAGGATATGTAAAGTTTTTTAACCTAATATATCTCATAATTTGACTTTAAGAAATTGATGAAATTACAGGCGTATAATTCATAAATGGAGGGGTATTGCACTTTGACCTGGGATCTAGCGGAAATTATGTTCATATTTTTTTTAGTTTATTCAACTTAAAATATTTTAGTACATTTTTGTATGAGCATTTATTCATATTGTTGAGAGATCTCGATTATGTTGGGTATTGATTCGATACCGGACATAGATGATGGAGGCTATTTAATTTATTTTTCCCTTATTTCATTTATACTGCTTATTAACTTGATATAATTGGGGTACATTAAGCGCACCGTCTTTATAGATATACCACAATGACATTTGTGCAGAGAAAGAGACTATTCCCGTTCTGCCATTTCTCCTTCATTCTTATTTTAACTTCAAAATTCTTCTCATATATCAATCTTTCTCTGTTTCTTCTTTTTCTTTTACGTTAGTTTAATACACCGGCCATCCGCGTGACAATTTAAGAATTTTATCTGTGAAATCCTGGGTGGACAATATGGTTTGGAAGAATGTTCGGGTGAAAAAAAGTGATATTAGTTCACGTAGGGTGTCAATGTGCTGGGTTAGCTTGGGGACAACAGTGTGAACCCTTTCTTAAGGGGGGCTTGAGCATCAAAGCAAGCTCAGAAGGAAACTCTGTTTGTTTCTTTCCTTTTTATAAAAAGTTATCTTGCTAAACCCCTTCAATTTGACGTATGAATTTTGTGAATATCCTTTACTGGGACCATGGCCCTTTGACTTGCGATAATCGGACTAGGAGACAGATGTGTATGTGGCCTCTTTAACTCCGTGCGAAACTACAACACGTGGCCTGTAGCCTGAAACATCATTAATAACTTGGGTAGATGTGTAGACTGACTAGGTAGCCATCTAGAAAAACTACAAAATTATATCATTTGAGTTAAAGACTGTATCCAAACGTGAAAGAGTTCCGTATAAACAAAAATTATCCCGTCGTTTACAACAGGGTCTGTAAAAGAAAATATTAAACTCGAATCCATAATCTTATTCTCAAGACTGTATAGTTCTTGAATCAGGTGCGACATTGCTTGGTCTTAGTCTTATAGAAGATTTTTTTGAAATGTTTCCATTGTTTGGCGTTACTACACAAGAGTCTTACCTTGTTTAAGCCAATAATTTAAAACTGGTTGTAAGGGGGGCTCCATTTGTCTAGGCTGGCCCAGTGTTGCCATGGTTAGGCTGCTCTACGTGTGTCTCTAACATCAAAAAATAATGTGAAGAAATGAAATATCTTCACCTGGCGGTGCTCTGCCGTGTTCAGTAAAGGTAATACGACATGCAGCACATATATCTAAAGGTTCTTCTTCCTTGTCTCTCCACTGACCTAACTTGGAGGTTTGCTGTCTTCTTCCTCGATGGCATATCATCTCACCGACAATAGTCTGTCTCCTCCTCGCTTCCCCCATCATTTAAGGTCTGCTGCCTTTGCTACCCACGCACAGTCATCTTTCTTCTCTCGTCATCCAAGGTCATCCTCCTACATCCTTTCTCCATCATCTTTCTCCTCATCACCCAAAGTTCTCCATTATTATTCTCCCTCATCCAACACTCCCTCATCTCAGGCTTGCCACATGCCCACTCCCCTCGTTTCCTCCCCCATCACTCAGGGCCAGGTCTCTACTCCCTCTGTACTCTGTAATTTCCCTTTTGTTTTTATTGCGGTGGACTTCAAGATATCTTCATCGATGGCGCAGTGAGTCATGCAATGTTTTTGTTTCAAGTGGAGTATTCTGGCCCTGAGATTTGTACTGGAGGGGAATACCAAGATGTTGTGGTATGAGAAACCATGAGATAAGGGCCCAATTTTGGCAGTTGTTATCGTGTTAAGTGGGATAGTTGGCCACAGCTTCGAAGGTTACCATATTTTGTTCACCTTTATGCAATGTTTTGTTGATTTTGTACTCTTTGTTATGCATTATCATGTTTAAATCTTTATTTCCTGCTTCCCATTTTCTAGCACTTTAGCTTTTATTTTTAAGTTATTGTTCAAACCATGGTATGTACTCATATTGGTTGTTTCTTTTCTGCAGATTGAACCCATTCGTAACTTATTTGCTGCTCTTTTCCTTGCTTGCGTTGGAATGCTAATACATGTTCATTTCCTTTGGAACCACGTGGATATCTTACTTGCTGCTGTTATTTTGGTGATCATTACCAAGACGATAGTGACTGCTACTGTTGTCAAGTGCTTTGGCTATACGAATAAGACCTCACTCCGGGCAAGTCTTTTGTCTGTTCTTCGCATATTCCATTTCACTGTGCATTATGTTTCGTCAGATTTTGAGTCTTCTGCTGCATTCCTGCAGGTTGGCATGTCTCTGGCACAGATTGGGGAATTCGCATTTGTTCTTCTCAGTCGTGCGTCAAATCTACATTTGATTGAGGTAGAGGAGCATTTCGAAAAAAATCGCCTTTTTCTTATCAGATATATGGTTGAGGGTTGTAGAACTTTGTATACTATAAATGGTGTCGAACCACAATACCATTTATCATTTGCAGCATCAGAGTGACAGACGCGGGGATTTAGCCAACTGTTGACATCCTCCTCCCTCTCAGAGACTCTTAAAGCATACAGAATCTTGTTAGCCTTGCCACCAAACCATAGGGTTCTTCAATGCTAGCATGCGAATCCATGCAGTGACTAAAGATGATATACGTCAATGTTGACGTCAGATTGTTTCCCGTGAGATGTTCATGCAATTTCATCTTTAAAGCATGTTAAAATATGCATGGGTATTTTCTTTCTATGATCCACATTTCTCATTTGACCACTTGACTAACTGTCTTGATGTTTGGCCAGGGAAAACTCTACCTCCTGCTTCTTGGCACAACAGCACTTAGCCTGGTATCTCATAAACCCCTTCTTCCCTGTGTTCATCCACGCTTCATTTTACTTCTAGTAACGACACATGGTAGACTGAAAGCGATCAGAGCGACTAATACTCAAGGATAATGCCGGAAGGAAGTATTGATAATAACTCGTTTTATTCACTCGTTCATGTCTTTCAGAGATCGCCTTTTACTGTTGAAATTTGGTAGAAATGCACGATTTTTTTTCCCTTTAATTAGAAGCAATATCTAGCACAAAAATAGTGAGAATCTCCGATGGACGAAGTTCCTTGAGAATTCACATTTTTTTCTCTATCCCTTCCCCGTTATATAAAGTCGGCGTTGGGTGACATCTCTGCCTGCTCGTTTGATTTGGAGATATCTCATCAAGCATCAAAATTCTGCAGGTGACCACTCCTCTACTCTTTAAGTTGATTCCTACCGTCGTTCATCTTGGAGTACTGCTGCAGTGGTTCCCCCCCGACAGAGCCCAGCTTGAGGTAATGCTTCCATTCCATCTCATCAGCACACTTGCTGCCAATGTCTAGAGAGGATCACGATTCCGCGAGGACGGTGCTCGACGAATACACCACTTCGATTGACCACCCGTGATTCATGAAGCGCTGTGGAGTCTTCCTGATGAGCTTTTTCATCGTCTTGGTCGCGGCAGGTGACCAAGAGCACGAAGGAGAGATAGAAGGTGCTGGGCGGGGCAGGGGGGATTGCGAAGGAAGAGTTCGGCGTTTTCTGCCGGCAGTTGAGCGCGACTGCGCCGGTATCTGAGAAGATTTTGAGCCATCTCGACAGGTTTCCAGTCCTCTATCTTGCTTATATGTTTCATTCTTACCTTTTTTATGTAAATTTCTAGAGGTGCCCAGCTCATTGCAATCCTCTCTCTCGCTTGTAACATTGTTTAGAGGAATTTTACCCTCCAAGAGACCCATGCTTCACCTTCTCATCAGATTATTTCCAGAGCTTCTTGTTATAGTTGTACAGTTGCCCTGCGGCCGAGGCCCACCACGGCCTTCGGGGCTAGTCCCATCATGGGTGGTCAGGTCTCCAGTTGATTAGCATGTTCATGCTGACAACATCTCACCTGAAAGTTTGGAATATTTACGAGAGATGACGGACGAGGAGGTGGCAGGGATGGCCTCCATTTCTGTGGACGACGACGCCTTATCCCGTCTGCCGAGAAGAGGACAGCGGCGCCATAATTCGGCGGAAGCAGCCCCCCCCCCCCCCACTGCCGGCGTTATGACGGAGTCCAACGCCGCCGGGGAGCTTGTGGACGCCTGCTTCGCCCGTGGCAACATCACGAGCAGGCAGACCCCGCATTTGGCGCGTCGCTACCCCAGAAAAGGCTCTCTACCGCTACGACAAGCGATTCTCGGAGATGATCGGGTGAAGATCGGGTGAAGATCGGGGGTCGGTTTCTCTCTCCCTGATTAGGTTTTGACGAGGAAGATGACGACAAGCCGGGGTGGGGTTGGGTTAGGGTTGATCTCCCTTCCCTTCCGTTGAATGCTTCAAGCACAGCAGAGTCGAGAAGGAGACGGGAGCATGGTTGTGACGCAACGAGGACATCATCTTTGAATGGAACTCAGCCTCGGAACAGACCCGCAGGCATCTGGAAGCGTTCGTTCGGAATTAGCGTGAGGGGGGTAGGCCTCCTCCTCGGAGCTTGAATTCCATGGTGTGTGATTCTCTGAGAGGAAGCCGCCCCCCAAGATGTCGTCTCACCTCCTTCCTCCTGTTCCCAAGAGGTGAGCCAGACTCGCTCCAGAGGGCAAGAAAGGTTCACATTTACAGGGTACTGTGTGTGTTGGGGGAGGAAGGAGGGAAGGGGGAACAGAAGCCAGTCCCTTATATCGTTCGGAGCGGGAGGGTTCATCAGGTCACCGTGAGGCCCCTCCCGGCAGCGAAGAACGAGGGTTTCCTGGGGGAAGGGTCGGGTCGAGCGGGGACCGGAGAGGAGATGGTGAGCTCCAAGCTGGGCTGCGGGCGAGGGAGCTGGGGCTTCGCCAGGAAGCCCGGCTGGAGCAGGCCCGGGTAGCGCGGCATGAGGGAGAGCGGCGAAGGCATCAAGCTTTCCTGCACGGAGGCGTTGAGGTCGATCTGCAGAGGGGCACGGGGCTGCTGCCGAGCGGTGCTCCCATAGCTGCTGACCTGCGAGGGAGAGGGAGAGGGAGAGGAAGGGTCTCAGTCGGCGGTGATCCTGAGCAGGGTCTAGGCGGAGAGATGGGGATGATTAATTACCACGTCGAAGAGGCTGGATCGGCGCTTCTTGTGGAGGCTGTTCTGGCGGAGGAAGTACTTCTGGGCGTGGCTGGCCACCTGGGTGGGGGTCCTCGTGATGACAAAGTTGCGGGAGATGCCCCGCCAGTCCCCCTTCCCGAGCTTCTCCAGGCCGGTGACGAATGCCCGGTGCTCCTCCTCCGTCCACGGGACCCCTGACAGAAGGAAACTAACTCTTTAGAGATGTGCGCGCCATCAAGACCAGACCTTGAAGGAGGAGGAGGAGGGTGGGTAGAGGGGAGGAGTTGAGATTGATCTGGTACTCACCCTTCTTCCGCTCCTGCGTCCTCCCCGCGAGGCCGTCCGACAGATAGCCGACTGTCGACTTGTCGGCGGCTTCTTCGATGAAGACGAGCGAGGAAGAGGAGGAGGAGGAGGACGACGACGACGAGGGCGGAGATGTGGTAGGGGAGGGCATGAATTCCATGCTGAAGCTCTTCTTCAGAGGGCAGGCCGCCGCCTGAAGATGGACTCCGAATAGCCTCAGCCCCCCGCCGATGGATACTGCGCTCCCGGGACTTCTGCAAGTCCTCGAATTGTGCCCGTCGTTACCACAGTGCGAGCATTTCCTCACCATCGTCCCCGACCTACCAAGCTCAGAGAGAGAGAGAGAGAGAGAGAGAAAGAGAGAGAGAGAGGAAGAGAGAGGAAGAGAGGAAGAGAGAGGGAGAGAGAGGGAGAGAGAGGGAGAGAGGAAGAGAGAGGAAGAGAGAGAGAGAGAGAGAGAGAGAGAGAGAGAGAGGAATGGATAATTAGCTCGTTGTGAGCGCTGAAACTGGTGGGTGAAGGAGTTTATAGACCTATCCAGGAGTGAGGAGGCATAGGGACGTCTTGGACTTTTCTCCAGTCCCTCCCCGCGTACACTTTTCCTTTATCTACCGACAAAAGGTGCTACCGCCGAGTTCGTGTCGGGGTCTACGGTTCAACTGTAGAGATGTACATCTTCTTCCGGCATTCAAGTCGCGGTATACCTTGTCCCCACCATTATTAAAACCTTAACTTCGATAAATGCTACATCAATGCCGGGCCCTCCTGCGGAGTTCGACCAGCTCTCACTCCAGTTCAGACGGGGAATTCACGGCGATCCACCTGCCCCCTTGATGACCAGCGACCGGAGCTGGTCACCGAACTCCTGCTCAGATCAGGCCCAAATGAAGAGGCCGACCCAATCAGGCTCCTCCGAGCTTACCCGCGAGAACGCAGGACTCTCTGTCGAATGATAGGATAAAGCTGGGTTCTCTCTTTAACGTTATTTATCTTTTGGTTGACGAGGAGTTGTCGGAGAGAAAGCGAGCGTCTCTGACTCTGACTATTTCGTGAGATTTCGGGGCATCTGCGAGGTGGGAGATAAAGTCTGCGCAGGACGTAAGAATGTTACTAAATAGGGTAGATGTGGGATGGGAATTGGAGACTGTGCGGGGGGAGGAACAGGATGCCCTCCTTCCTGTTCGAAGAAGAAGAAGAAGAAGAAGAAGAAGAAGCCGGGAGGGTATTGCGGACATTGGATACTCGGCATCTAATGACAGTCCTCACCCGCCGGGCTCCATCCAACTTTGCTCCCACTAGCTCGTATAATACCGCAGGCAGCCAAGTGGAGTCCATTAAAAAGGCGTTCTTCCTCGTCCAAGGGGCACCACCCTCGCCCTGCTTTAACGCCTGTTTAATGGGGGGTAGGAATCGTCTCCGTGGGAAGGGGGGTCTAATAGCGGAGGACGGATTGGCGGTGCCGAAGGTGCCTTCCGAGAGGGATTACTGAGGCTTCTCTCTCTCTCTCTCTCTCTCTCTCTCTCTAGATGGAGCTGGTGCGTCAATATAGTAATGGATCGGATGAGGAATGCGTGGACAAGCCTCCACGACGGTGCAACTTGTCCGAAAGCGTTCGCGTCGGACTCTGACCAGCCCCCCCTCCCCCACCCGTTTCACATCCTATTAGAGATCGTAGTAGCATGGGGTTGTCGATCACCCCCGGCGGTAATCAATGTCGGCATGTCGCCATGGGAAGGTGAGAAGGCCACCCCCTCTCATCTCTTTTCGTCCTTTGAGTGGGCTCTTTTATGACAAATGGGCAGAGCCTCGCTCGTCCATCCAACCCCGAGCTGTCGTGGATGCTCTCATCCATCTAAAGCGGCGTCGCTCACTCTCTCTCTCTCTCTCTCTAAACCGATCCCAAAAAGGGGTAGGGTATTGGGGCATCAAAAGTTTAACGACAAGGCTCGAACGAAGTGGGCCCGGATGACCTCACTGGGGGATAGATACGATGACATCAGAGGGCGCCTGGACTCAAAGAGAGAATTCGCCTCGGCGCCTTGAGCATAAGTTAATGGCCAAGTAACCGGCTGAGCAAAAGCAAAGCAAAGCTCCGGTGGGTTCCTCTTCTGCCCTAACTTAGCTTTCGACATCATGTATATGGATGAGGCTCGACGATGGGCGCCCTCGTCATGGCTGACCCCAAGACTTGCGCCTGGCCACACGTCTGTTGCCCAGAGAAGGACCGTCCGTCTCTTCTCTTTCCCTCGCCCCCCAATCCTGACGGAGGCCCCGGGAAAGAGAATGTTCGGAGGAAGCATCCTGAGCCGTATTGTCATCAATCATTTGGCCGGTCTGACGGCCAAGAACACGCTCGCCGGCACGCCGACGAGACGCCAGGTCGAGCCTGAGAAGACGAGAGGACGAGCCCAGCATCGACATCGCCGGTTTTCTTCCATACCTCACCTCCCACCCCTCGCTGGCTATTTCAGCATCTCTTCTCTTCGTCTTATGACGACCACCCACTGTCTTCTGAGATATTATCGCCGATAATATCCTCCAAGTTGCACCACACGACAGAGATGGGTCTCCCTCCTCTCTCTCTCTCTCTCTCTACATGTGCTATTCCAGATGGAACAGAAGACAGATATATTAAATTAAATTATCAGAGATATGATCGTGGAACTGATTTGCGCCGGCGTGGCCCGAGATCAGCCCCATAGTCCCCTCATTACTTGGAACAGTCGGCAGTGGGTGAGAAGATCAACTCCTCTGGATGCGGGCCGAGAAGTAAGTGGACAAACAGTGCCCGTCCCGTCAAACATAACACTGTAGTGGGCACGCGATTATTAGGGAGATCGAACGATCTAATCAAGAAAGTCGTCGTCTTTTTTTGTCATCCGGGCAGCGTTCATCCCACGGCCGTAGAACACCCAGCAGCAGCTCTCGCTCTTCGAGCCAGCATCAATGCGGACCTTTCCCGAGGCTCAAGGCGACGGGGGAGAAAGCCGTCCGGAGGGAGAAGGGTGAAGGGGATCAGTCAACGCCAGATCACACCGTCTAGGAACACTGCTCCGACCAGGAACATGAACCGAGTCGCCATCCGATCCGAGCGCAACCGCCTTCCACCAACATTCCATGAACCATCGACATCAACAACTCGGATTCCGGATTAAACTTGGATTCAGCAAGTCACTAGATCGCAACTCCCAGACTCCACTGACTTTTCCTCCGATTAAAAAGCCTATTTAAGGCTAACATTCCGCATAATTGCGATAATAATGCCCTGGTTATATATTATCCTCATATTATTATATTCGGGAGAATATATACTCGCATAGAATATTGGGAAATTAAACATTTCACGAAAAAATCAAGTGCCCACATCCCATTCCGGGCGACCGATAAATCTTAAAGTCCTAAAGCGTAAAATGGACCTCAAGTTGAAGGAGGACCATTGAAATTGCGGGGCCCACTGGGAGCGTGGTTGTCCACTTGATGGGACCACCGAAGCGGACAGACGCCCCCCATTTCTCGGCTAGCCAGGAATTGGGCCGGCCCAGCAGGCTCGTACCCCGCTGTCGTAATCAGAAGAGTACGATCCACGTGATGCACGGGGACTTTTTAAATTGCGTTCGTCCCACATTGACCCGTCATATCACCCAACGAGGTGAGAGATATTACACAGCGAGAGGGAGAGAGAGAGAGAGCCGCCATCAGGAGGCCAATAAACACAGAGCCTAGCTAGGCCCAATTAGGTTTTTTATCTTCTTTTTTTGGGTGATGTCGGTCGGTCGGGATTTTCCACGGTTCTCTCCCTACTCACTGGAGATTTTTTTATTAAAATAAATGCAATAAAATACGCATGATCGAGGGAGGGACGTTGAAATGCAGAGTGCCCAATAAGAAATTCTAGCCGGATCCAACCATGTGGAAGATGAGGTCTCCCTCAAGCATGCAACTGGGCACACAGAGAGGGGGAGAGAGAGAGAGAGAGAGGCCACATGGGCATAAAAATCATACAAAGAATCAGGTGAGAGAAACTTGGAAGAAACATGGGTAATAAAATAATACGACTCGCTCACCCAGAAAGGGTCACTAGTACGAGTCAACCCAGATAAAAATGTGTCTATTAGAAGATCCAGACGGTTCTTGATTGGGTAAAATATCACTCACTGTCGAGTCCCCAAGAAAGCGAATTCGGTACGAGATAAATATTATAGGAAACTCAGAGAGTGTCTCATTCAGGAGCCAGCCAATTTCTGAAGTGGCAAATCCCACGTCGGTCCGTCTGGAAGGAGCCGCGGATGGATTTGACCATGGAACGCACAGCAGGAAAGGCGGCAAGCTCTTCATCTTGCTCCTGTAAAATCGCAAGCCCACGTCAACACCCTGTTAAGAAAGATTAAGCTTGAATTCTCAACGGCATAGTGACAATGTTTCTACCACTTCAGCTAGGCGTTGTTCAATCAAGCTTGAGGATTGCTCCGAAGGCATGAAGATCTTTCGGTAGGCCCTCTTCATGCCCCGAATCTAGAATTCTCACAAAAAAATAATTAGTATCTTGTAGAAAATGAGATTTTTTAAAAAATCTATTCAAAAGAAGAAATGGGTGGGTATTCCCAATTATCTCCTGCTGGTAAAAATGACCACTCTTCACGTAAAAACATCATCTCATGGGCAAAAGGCAAAGGGTGCAGATGGAAACTAACATTATTAGGGATTTTAATTGGGGAAGAGTTCCTTAAGCAGGAGTTTGCTTCAAAGAAGACATAGATTTCACGAATGTTAATGAGGACCATAATGAGGTAGCAAAGTGTAATTTTATATTTATCGATTCAATAAAATAAAAAAACTTAACCTCAAATGATGAGAAGCCACGGCGACGAAGTCCCTCCAGATTCAACCCACGAATTTCAGCTCTATCTCCAGAAACCATCATGAATCTTGGGACATCCTGTGTAACCTGCATCAATAAAGATTGTATGTATGTTAAAATAAAATAAAACGAAGGCCATGGAATAATCGATAAAGAAGTGATTCCCATGAAAAATGCCATGGTCAAGGCCTAAAAGATATGAGGATAACATACCACAGAACCACCGCTGATGAAACAGTGTGATCCTAAGTGACAAAACTGGTGAACAACGCTAGCCCCTGAAGTGCGAACATAGTCCTACAGGTTAAAGATCACAGATAAATTAATTACCAATTTTCTCTCGTAGATATTGGTTACCTAGGCAACAATGAGAAGAAATGACCTACTTCCACCTCCACATGTCCTGCGAAGAGAGAGTTATTTGAGAAAATATTGTTGTTACCAACTTTGCAGTCATGGGCAATGTGGCAAGATCCCATAATAAGATTATTGTTGCCAATAACCTGGCAGTTGAAAAGGGAATCATTTAAAAAATCGAAGTGATGTCTAAAAATGTCAGGCGCATGAGAAATGTGCTTACTGTTTTGTCAGTAAATTTCGAAGAACGATGAATGGATGCATACTCTCTGATATCATTGTTATCACCAATATGGAGGAAGCATTCATCTCCTGTCTAGAACAGCAAGTCATTGTATATTAAATATAATACCCATCAGCAAGAATATACTTACAGCTTGACTGATAATTAATCCATCAATAACTAAAGGAATAATAGAACATTAGATGAAATCTGCATATGCCTTCCTTCCAGAAACAGCTCAAAATTATATATTTTTTTACTGGAAAAAATAATGAGTTCTATAAGGATATTCATAAACTAACCGTGTACTTCAGATCTTGGCACTTAGTTCCAACAACCGCATGGTGACCGATTGTGTTTTGTCTTCCAATTATTGTAGATCCTGGAAGATTGGCGCCAACAATGGCACCACTGCCTCACGATTTCAAGCTCACGCAAGTAAACTAATGTGTAAAATATATCTACTTGTCCCTGAGGCTATAAAATAATCTAAGGCGAAGCATGAAACTCAAGAAGGATAAAAAAAAATTGAAACTAAATGAATCGTCTCAAACGATAAAATGATCATACGCTAATAAAATGCAGTTTTCTCCCAACTCTGTATCCCCAAAAATGTGGCTGCCAGGATGCAACTGGCAATGATCTCCGACCTTCACCGCAGACCCAATTGTACAAAATGCAGCGACTAATACTCCCTTCAAGTAAACATTTTAAAAACAGGTTAGATAAAAAATACAAAGGAAAATAACAGGAAAAATGATTAAACTCCTGTTCTCTGATTCCAACTTTTGTAAAAGTGCTTTCAGAGACAGGATTCACCAGCTGGATACATATTTTACATGATCCCAGTGATTTCAGATAGACAAAGGCTATTATTTTTCCTTTTCTCCTTTTCTGGTGCCATTGTCTTTATTATGATAATATCTTATAACTTCTTTGTGAGATGGGCTTTTCCTCAAAAGGAACACGGTTACGATTATCTGGTTCAAACCGTCAGGCCCAGGGCCAGAAAACCAGGCGATATATTTAAGAGTTCTGAATGAATGCCTAGGTGTGGCTGTGCGAAATTGATTGTCTTTTTTTTGAAATTCCAATAACAGAGAACCCGCAGGCATCTAGTAGAATAACAGCAGAGGTTATATCAATTGACCAGTAATATGTTGAGTTCCCCAACAGCTCAGGGTGCTGGAGATTTGTCCCATAAAAGTTATTATTTGGGTTACTTTAAACTAAACAGAGATCTCGCAGGACATCCATTGGTACCTCTTCTTCTGTACTCTTCATTTCCATTACAAAATTATCACTAGAGCACAACACTGAAACCTGATGGAAACCATACAAGGATTAACAGTCGAGAAAAATTTCTTCTTCTTAGAACAATTGCAAGGTATAAACAATTGATGGAAACTACCTAGGTTAAGGAAATCGATCGACAGGCGAACGAAATGAGGTAGGATGTGTATGAGAGACTGTAATTCAGCTAGATAACTTAGGCTGAAGTGGGGCTTATCTCGCTCGAATTCGAACTTAAGATCGAAACTCCTGTCCTCACCCAGCCGTACCATGCTAACTTCAGCCTAACAACGCTAAATTGGGATGGAATGAATTCGGTTATTTGTTCACCCGGGCCTCCCAAGCTGCATGGCCATGTACTGGCCAAAACGGGAGTAAGAGGCAACCCACATTACTGTTGATGGTGATTCCCAGACGATCAATCAGGCAATTTCATAAAATACATTTACCCTTAATGGAGCCTTGTTCTCTGGAAGAATAAAAAGTAATCATTATATAGTACAGCTGATCAACAGTAAGTAACATCTGGAAGCCGTCATCGATCACGTATTTTCACTACCCTTTCGATGATCAAAATGAAAACCAGTTGCATGCCACGGGGCCGAACGGAGGGAGCTGTAGATCACTGTTAAGAAGTTCCTCACGTATATAACCCAAAAGGCAATGGAGATACCACTGTATTGCAGAAGGACTTCCCAAAACCTCAAATCCATACAACCAATAAATCAGAGTACGGACAGTGTGGATGAAGGACCTGTCCGATGACTGCCCCGGAATGAATCACAGCAGTCGGATGGATCATAGACTCTGTTTCCCGCACAATGTCGTCATTTCCCTGCCAGACATCTGAAAACAGAAGACAAATGCTATCAACCAGCGATAAGCGGGCGCAGGCCATTAAAGCTAAGAAGGACACAATAGGGAGACATGTCTCACCGGAAGTCAATCCACGCAGTATCTGACCCCTTAATTCCCGGGAAGTCAGCCTGCTGGAGGCGGACAGGGCGGCACGGAAAGCACCCAGGGATGGCATGCCGATCACGCCTGGCCTGGAGTCTTCCTTCAGAACCACAAGGGAGAAGAAGAACACAGAGGAATGCGTTAACGCCCGCAGAATATGGCGGCAGTGGAGAAAATCGGAGCGCTCCCACTTCGAACTAGGAGAGAGAATCCGCTCGACGTGGCGGTCGTATCCTCTGTCTAATATGACGAAATGACAGTGGTATCCTTCCCCTATCTGTCCCGAGGTATTGGTATAATCGTAATAATTGATTTATTTTGTCCTATTTAAATTATGTTTTTAATAGTGAATTTAAAAAAGATCACAATAAGCGTCCCACTAGGGTTCTTCAGCTCCCCGCCATCACTGACAGAAGTACACTTGATTCCCTTGCGCGCTCCCCGCCGCTGCAAGCCCCTGATATGTGAGAGTTGTGAGAGTTTTTCTCCATAGCCGAGGGCTAGCCATGGCTTTGCGTACCTCTATATTATAGTAGCGTCACCAGCCAGACCTCTCTCGGTCGCATCTTTCGAGATGGCCACCGGTAACCCCTTTGCTCTTCTTGGGGATGGCGACGGCGACGATCTGTCGCAGGTGATTGCGGCGCAGCGGCAGAAGATAGCAGCCAAGAAACCGCTTAGCGCTGCAGCTCCCAAAGTGCCCCCGGTGTCGGCGAAGCTCCCATCGAAGCCAGCTCCTCCGGCACAATCTGGTAATTTTAATTTTTTTTTCAGAGCTCGGCCTTCAGGAAATCCTTGTCCATACAGTGGACGCTCGCTTAAACTTCGGCGGCGGCGGCCTGCTGTTTTATGATGCGCTTCTGTAATTTTTCTCATGTCGGCTTTGCCCGGGGGAAAGTGGGGTCGTTCTGGAATCAGAGGTCGCGCGCTTACGCAGCAATCGGCTATGCCTCGTGTTGGAAAGAGAATTTCCTAAAACCTTGCTGTTAATTTTCGTCCTTCGATGCTGCAGTGAAGGATGCTCGGAGCAGTAACGCACCGACACGCGGCTCTTTCGGCGGTGGCCGTGGACTTAGTCAAGGTAGGGGCGGCCGCGGTAGCTTCAACCAGAACAGAGACTACGATCATGGAAATGTGGACGGATTATTGCGAAGGCATGATGACGCTGCTGGCGGGGGGGAAGGCCGCGATCCGAGCAAGCCCCAAGAGAGGGAACGCGGATATTACGGGGGCCCGCGTCAGTCGTTCCGAGGTGGTTACCATGGCGGACATGGGGATCGAGAAGCTGGAGGAGGAGATTCTGATCGGCCTCCGAGGAGAGTGTTTGAACGACGCAGTGGCACCGGTCGCGGGAATGAGTTTAAGCGCGATGGCTCTGGCCGTGGCAACTGGGGCAGCTCAACTGATGATGCCCTCGCGCCGTGAGTTTCCTTTTTTCTTTGAATTGTTCTTGTCCACTTGTGCTGCAATTAAACTTTCACTTTACCAGATAAATTTTATGGGATCAGGGGAACAGAGGAGGTTGTGAGCGGCGGCCGCAAGGTTTGGACTACTGGAAAGCAATCTGACCAGAAAGGTGCGCCAGTGTCTGAGATGAGCAAAGAAAATAAAGGGGATGGGTCTGAGGAGACTGAAGAGAAAGAGCCAGAGGATAAGGTACTCACAAACATGCTGTTTTCCCCGCGCATTTATCACAGATTATGTGAGTACCAATGAGGCGCCAGTTTTGCTTCTCATTTCAGTTTTAGCTATTTTAGTCCTGAAATGGGACATTCTCTGGAATCTAATGTGGTAGGGCACGTGCTCACATTATGTCTAGCAGGTGCCCGTATATCCATATAGAGATCGGTAAATAGTCTGATAATGGCAAAAATATTTCCATTAACCATTATATTCTGGCTATTATTTTGTCGGCAACTGGTTGAAATTCAGATTTCAGTTTCAGGTCTTTTCTGGGTAGAACTGCATTTCCCATTTGGTTAGATGTTGTGGCTGTACTGACTAGTACTCTCAGGAGTTTTGTTCCCTCTCCGGTACAAACCATTGAAAGAGCTCCCTATTTATCTACCACCAGCCAAACTCAAGGTGCCCATCGAAGTAGGAGACACCCAACCCTTTGTTTCACACATCGTCGCTTGTGGTATGCCCAAATATATCGCCATGGAATGTTCCTGGGTTTTCTCAGATTATATCTTGCTTAGTGGATGCCATGATTCAAATTCTCAAGCCTTTCTTGCTCTTGAACTTATTTTGCTCGGGGGAGGCCTGAGGTAATCATAGTGCAGCATTGATGACCAATGTGGAGGATCAGTGATAGTTGGTGCCTATCGGACGGTGCATGTAGATTCTTGTTGAAAAGGGGAAGAATTGCTTGAGTTGTTGCATGTGATAAAACTAAAGATACTCGGTACTTTTATAGTTTATATTCTTCCCCCCAGTGCGAGCTCCTGTTCTAGGGGCCGGCGACTGTGCACCTGCCGCTTTCCCACTGTGGGCTGTTCTTGTTGAAGACTAAAGTTTGATAGTTGCTCAATGCCAGGAGATGACTCTCGATGAGTATGAGAGGGTAAAGGAAGAGAAACGAAAGGCTTTGATTGCAACGAAGTCGGAGGCTAGGAAAGTAGAGGTTGACAAGGATTTCCTGTCCATGCAGCAGCTTTCTCTCAAGAAAGAGAACGATGAGATCTTTGTCAAGTTGGTAAAGTTTCTTTGTCCAGTCTCCTACGTCGTTCTCTTTATAATTCGTGATTATTTTCTACCAAATTTGGCAGGGCTCTGACAAAGATCCCAGAAAGAAAGACAACGTTGACCGGGATGAAAGGGCCAAGAAGGTGACCAGGGTCGTGCTCTTCTCCTCCTGTTGAAATGATTTGCGACTGCTCTTTAGTCACATTCGCTCCCTCCCTCTCTGCAGTCTGTAAGCATCAACAAGTTTCTCAAACCAGCCGACGGAGACAGATACTACAGTTCTCCCAGCGGCCGAGGCCGCGGACATGGACGCGGCCGCGGCCGCAGCGGCGGCGATCAGCAACTGTCTTGGACCGGCAGCGGTAACGCCTACCACGGGACCGGGGCAGCGGCGGAGGCACTCATCATCGATGATCCCGGCCACTTCCCCTCCCTTGGAGGGAGGAAGTAAATGCTACACCAAAATCGTCTGCCCCCCACTGCTTGCTTCGTTCCATTTCCCTTTCTAGGGTTGGATCTGGAGGGTCCTGAACAATAAAACCCGTTTAATAATAAAAAAACCGACGCCTTCTTGCCCTTCTTGTGAGAACCACTCACCCTCTCTCTTGATTCCCTAAGAAGCATTCTTTTTAATGAATAAGCTGCACCAACAGATACAAATATGCACGGAAAATACTGGGAAAGTGGGGAAGAATGCACAATGTCGGCTGCTAGGAGCCCGCAGAGCTTAGCTACCGGCGCAAGATTCTTCCCGCCTCGCCTCCTCCCGATAGGCTGCTAGCAGGGCCTCGGAGGAGACTCTCCCCACCAGGCCTCCGCCGGCAGCTCCGCGCATGCTGGTTCCGCCGCGTTGCTGCAGGCTCTGCAGCTGCCGGTCCGCCCACGTTCGGTCGCAGCGGTTCCCCGTATCGCTGCCCGGCGTTGGCGGCTGCTTGGGTGGCGCAACGCCGTCGCCGTCGAGAATCCGGAGGACCTTTTGAACCCAAGATGGACAGTCAGAGCGTTGGCCATTAAACAGGCTCTGTAAAAACCGGGGGCTGCTGGTTTGCTGGCTCACCTGCGACATGCGCGGCCTCGCATCGGGGTCTCTCCGTATGCACAGAGCGGCGGCATGCAGCATGCAGGAGACCTCGTCCTCGGCATACCGGTTGCCCAAGCACGGGTCGATCAGCTCGTCGATCGCATGTTTTTCCAGCAGAGGGCGGGCCTGAATGTATAAATCAACAAGCACGATGGATCACATTAACGAACATGTAAACGCCGGGCAGAAGAACCTGCCCAGTAGAAGGGAACTTGTGGGTCATTGGCTAGCTACCCATTCGGTGAGGCACTGCTGGCCCTTGGGCCGATTGATGTCCACGGCCTTCCGACCCGTCACAAGCTCCACGAGCACCACTCCGAAGGAGTAAACGTCGGCTTTTTCCGTGATTTGGCCGCTTTGGGCGTATTCAGGTGCCAGGTACCTGAGTTTGGAGGCGTTCAGGAGTTATGTTTTTCTTCTTCTTCTTCTTCATGAGGAGAGGTGAATCAAAGAACGTGAATTTACCCGAAGGTCCCGATGACCCGCGTCTCCACCCCCAGGTCTCCGTCTGGTTGCCATCTTGCCAAGCCGAAGTCCCCTACCTGAGGAACAGCAACAAGACCAAGGTCACCGATTCGTCCAGAGATTCTTCTAAAAGGGAAAACATATGCCGTCAGGCACTGGTTCACATGCTTAACAAGGGGGGGGGAATTTTTGAATCATGTGCTGCATAATTCAGGATAACTATAAAGCCATCTACGGATGATTGCTACAATTAATCCGTGGGCCACAAAATGAAAGACTCGATCCTCGGCAGTCAACTGGATTGAAGAGAAGAAAATCTAGAAATTTCGCGACAGCGAAAATTTTCCTGAGAGCTAAATTAACGAGATTTGCATAACCCAGGATATTCAGTCCTATGCGTGCAGATGAAGCATGCGACACCAATCCTTTCACTGGATAAGAAAACCCATTTCTTGCCAAATCCTGTCATATAGATGTTTCAGATAACATCGTAAGATGGTCGAGAGAAAGTCATACCAGCGACTCAAAGTCATGAGTTATGAGGATGTTGTTTGGCCTCATATCACGATGCACAATGCAACCCACTCTGCACTCCTCGTGAAGGTATCGCAGTCCTCTTGCGGCTCCAACAGCGATTTTCTGCCGAGAAGACCACTCCAATGTTTTCTTGTTACGGCCTGCAATGTCTCACAACGATAGTTGAGTTGGGTACCCACCGATTTTGCGCTTGAAAAGCAATTGTAAAAGATCTAATGCAGGGATGATATGCATGGAATTGTGGATAATACGTGAGCTACCACCTTTTTTTTGCACTATATTTAAATGGAACTAGCCCCTAAAGATTTCACGTTTGATGTTATTCGAGATAACTGCGCTCTTACACTATTCAGAATTGCAGTGATTTTTCCATGCAACAGTTTAACGATAGGTAAAGCAGCACTTTCACAGAGGACAACCGAGGAATTACCATAAAGATGGGAGTCGAGAGAGCCATTGCAGATGTATTCATAGACCAGCAATCTTCTATGGTCCTCAACGCAGAATCCGATCAGCATCACCACATTCCGGTGCTGAGCGCAGCTGAGAACTTCCACCTCCGAGCAGAATTCGTTGTCTCCCTGAGAACTAGCCAGCTTGTGCTGCTTGACTGCGACGACCTGCCCATCCGGAAGGACCCCTCGGTGCACCGAGCCAAACCCTCCCTCGGCCAAGAAATTTGCTTGGGAGAACCCGTTTGTAGCGAGTTCCAGCTCTGAGTAGCTGAACCATCGCGGAGGCTTCCCAAAAACGGGAGCCTTGTGCTGGCATATCGAGCACAATGGGGGAGGAACTTGAGGGGCGTTCCTGGTCAATGAAATGGCCTCTCGGATATCCCCGCTGAAGTCCGCCTCCGATGATTTGTAGCTCATCATCCCGATCCCAGCTTCCCGGTCGAGTTTACAAAATTTCGCCGCCAAGGCTTTGGCCGCGGATACCTGAGAAAACACCCTCACCTGCTTTGAAGATCCGCCATTAAGATTGAGAATCTCAGACGCCCACGGCTGGAAGTCCGAACTCTTCGGAGGGCTGAACTTTTCCGTGTCCGACCCAGAGCTGCTCGAATCCGAGGCGCGGCAATCTTTCGCCCCCGGGGGTTCATCTTTCTTGAATTTCCTGCTGAACTTGGACACGAAGAATGGGGAAGTTCCAAGATCGCAGCTTGACACCGACGAGGTCCCAGCTTCGGTGGTGAAAGATGTCCCGACCTCTGGGCTGCTCGAGGGGGTGACGACAGGGCCGCGCATGGAGTCCGACGGATCGCTGCTATCTTTCGACATGGTATCCAGCATGACATCTAACTCTGGGGGCAAGGAGTAGCAGGCCGCTGGATTCTCTGCTCGCGGGTAGCCGACAAGATTAAGCCGGAGGATCTTCGGCCGGGAACGCTTCATGACGACGATATTGCACTGCAGTTCCTCCATGCATCGCTTCTCCTCGTGCTTGAGCTGCCTAGTAAAGAAAAAAGAGAAGAAAAGGAAGTGAATGGAGTGTAGAGGAGCTGTTAGAGGCGGGGGATGTTCGTGAGATCAATCCACGAATGGAAGCTTCCACCTTCCACCTTCCACCTTCTCCGAAGACTCAAACTAAAGACACCTTACTTGTCTAAAACAACCCAGCTTGCTTGAGCTCTCTTGGACTCCGCTGCCACGGCGCCGGCGGGTGTCCCTGAGACAATCTTGATCTTGACATTCGTCTGGAGACGAGAATTAGATGGTGTGAGGAGTGATGCCGTCAAATGGTTTCGGGAACTATAATTTGACCAGAGAAGGAAGAACCGCGAGGTTTTTCAGCGAACCTTGTTAGGGTCGTAAACCTCCTGGAGCTGAAGCATCATCTGAGAGCAGGTATCCGCAATATCAGACCTGATTTCCATGGTAGTTCCGGTGAGGGACCTCCGGTGGCCGCTGGCGCAGTCCCCTGCAAACCTTGGAAACCCCCATAGCTTCCTTCCTGAGGAATCAAACCATTTCGTCGTCAACATCATCGTCGGAGCCAGATTCCCACAATGAAGCGCCAAGAAACGGGGGGAGGGGAGAGAAAACCTGAAGTCTGGGCCGGCACCACCACCAAGAGCGTGATGAAGCCACCGGGCTGAACAACGTGCGTCAGAGCCCAAACAAGAGCCGCCCTGGGAATCACCTTGGAGATCTTGACGGCCACCACGACCCTTCCGGCGACGTCCAGGCACTCGCCGTCCTGTCCACCCTTCTGCGGCGGACTGGCATTAATCATCTCGCTCTGGGAATCTCGAGACCAGAGTGGGTCGTCTTCTCCGGAACCTCCTTGTTTCGCAGCTGGTACACTCTCAAAGAGGAAGAAGATGACGGAACCAGGAATTCAAAAGCCGGAGGAGAAGATCACTCGATGGCGCTGCAGGTGCTGACGCCCTTGGAATGGAGATTGAACCCGGCCTCCAAACCCCCAAACCTAGTAGTCTTCCTATCGCTGCTTATCCCCGCCGCAGATGCTGCTGAAAAGACCGTTCTAGCCTGCTCCATGCCCTCTCTGAAACAGGGAGAACGGAGGGAACTCGGAAACTTTGCCTCCGGCGGAGATCAGAGAAAATGGGGAACGATTCAAATCCCGCAGCGTCCTTTCAGGGTTCCCGGAAACGTCTCCACGAAGAACCCTTCACGGCGGGAACCAATCCACCACCTTCCGGAATGTTTGTTCTGCTTGCCCGCCCTCCCGCCGGGAGCTTTATCGGAGTGAATCTCTCAATGGCAACAGCACCTCCCCTCTCGTCCCGCTTATCGCCTGGGAAACTGCGGAAGCTTTCAAATGATGAGGGCATCAACTGCGCACCCCGCTATAATCTCCGTGATCGCGCATCAACATCCTGCCGACGTACTTTGCCGGAAAACGACAGAGCCGGCAAAGAGGATCTGGCGGCTCCGCTCTCTGCGGGAAGCAAAAAGACTCTTTCCGGGCCTCCGATTCAGAACAGCAGGCGCGATGGGGCTCTCCTTGGGGCTCTCCTTGGGGCAAGCTAAACCCGGTGGAAGGCTGTCGATTTCTCTGCTCTCTGCTTCCGAGGGAAAGGAACAGCCAAGGTAAAACAAATCGAAGGGGCTAAATCGTGAGGATGGGGAAGAGAGAGCAGGGGGAAGAACCAGGCGTACACAACCTTATTCCTATACCCCTCAAACAGCTGCTAGAAGACTCCAAGAAAGCCCTTAACGCCATTGGGCCCAGGGAACCCTACCATTGCGATGGAACCTTCAGCAACGAAGCAGATTGGGTTTGCAAACAGGGAGGCGTCGGAAACGGGAAGAGACAGACTCTGGAAGACGCAAGCGTCCCTGGAGAAGCTGACTACGGTAATGGTGGGAAGTAAACTGGCGAGGACACCACCAAATCAGCTAATCCGATCGTTCGGAAGGAGATACCTTCGAGCCCGCATCATCCTCTAGCTGGAAGGGGTCACAGCATCTCGGCCACCGGCAGCGAACCTAGAGGAAGCAGCCAAGCAGGGAACGCGACAGGGTATGGAAGGGGGCCGTCCAGAATGAAAAAAAAAAGCAGATTCCGACACGGCGAGCACAATCGGGAGCCTCTGTTTCCCTTCGCTCGCTCTCCTCTGCTCCTCCGCTGTCTCTCTCTTTTATGCAATCCCACCTCTCGCAGGAACCCTCGCCCCCAGTAGCCGCGGCTGGAAGCCCGACGGAAGACGCTTACAAGCTACGGCCTTTCTCCCCGTTTCCTCTTCCCCGCACGCCAGCACCTCCACCAATGCCGCCGTCACCACCCCGCGGGGGGAGCTGCCAATCGCGGCCGTTTTACTGCTGGCTGCAGTTTCACGGCACGTCGCCGTCGGACAGCCGCCGTCTGAAACAGCCCCTGGATAAAGCTGTATCGTCGAGATCGCCACCAAGAGAGAGAGAGAGAGTCTGCGACAGCGGACAAGAACGGGGACCACCCAGCACAGGTCCTGTCCCCCTCCCTCAGATCTCCTCCGATTAGTACTACAGCCGGCGAGCCCACCGGCGATTACCTCCCCTATCGACGACCCACTGGAGTAGAAAACACCGCTACCGCGGACGGCGGAGAGCCATCGCTTCCTCTGCTAGCCTTTTTTGCCGTAGCTCGCCAAACTAGTCGCCTACCACTTTGTCGCCCTCCCCCGGCCGGTGATCAAACCGCTCTCGAACGCTGAATTCGGACATCTCGGGCCTAATGATTGCTATTTTACTACTAATCAAAAACCTTATTAATACCCTTCTTATTCTCGGGCCACGTGCTGCCGTAATCCACGCCCCTTGTCGACCTCGTGACCGGAGGAACTCCTCTCTCTCTCTCTCTCTCTCTAGATATGGGTGTATATCTTTAATGTAACTGGGCCAGACTTCAAATGGGTCCAGCCCAGAGTCCAAAATGTTGACTTTTCTCCAACGAGCAGAGAGGGGTACGTATAATGACAACAATGGTGGCCTCAATTTATGAGGACAAACATTTTGGTGGGCATTGAAGGGAGAAGCCCCCGGGGGGGCTTCCCAGTGGCCCGCTGCCAGCGGCCACTTGCTGCTCACTGGGCGGGCACAGTAGAGAGCGAGAACACCCCCCCCCCGCTCCCTCTCCCTCTCCCTCTCCCATTAACGGCAGTTCATCGAATGAGATCGTGGAGAAATGAAGCGTGTGTGAGGAATCTAGGCATAGATTTCAGTGAATGATGTTGGGTTGATGGAGTAGAGCTGGACGGTAGCGGGGAACGGACAGTAGGAAAAAGTAGCCAGATGGGCCGATGGGCCAGCTGGCGGGCTGCTCGGCATATTCCCTCCAAAGTCAGAACAAAAACAATGGACATCGAGGCGTAGACGAAATCCGAGAAGAGATTCCTTACGTCCACAAGGGAGGAAAAAGCATGAATATCAGTGGATATGTAACCATGGGTTCGATATGCTTCGAGCTCTAAAATGAGATGCGAGAAGCACAGGGAATGCACACACTCACACGTCTGTCTGAGCACCGCAAGGCCCATCGCAGAGAATGCAGATAATATAATGGCCTTCGGTGAAGTTGGAAACAAACCATCACTGAGAAATCAAGCAGAGGTGTTGTCGATTGCAAACTCCAGTGTTCTTCAAAAACTGGGCCTAGAAGCCAGGAACATCAGCCCAAAGGTTTTGATGGAAGCCGCTGCTTAAGGAGCTGCACTGATGAGGCACTAAAGCATACATACACCGGCGAAAAAGGTCAGGACATCCAGAACACTGCAGAATTTTTTAGATTCATTGCTCGAAGTATCGTTCTACTCCTCCTGGAAAGCCTAAATTACACACATTGATATGCACATATAGTTTATACAGAATATTCAGCATATGACAGGAAATTCTGTTAAACTGGTGGGTGGTCATTTTAGAGAGAGAAGATCCCACTCCTGATGAATAAATCCATCTATAACTTCTTTCCCAGTTGTGAGGTAACATAGGTTGGGCATCCCCAGGTCGCGTCTTAACTGGCCATTGACCGAGTAGAAGTGTAAAGCAGAAAAGTGCGTACACAAAAGGCGAATCGCGTTGAAGAACTTCCTATCATATGAGAGGAATATTTTTCTTCTTATTATTGCCTATGTGAAAAATCCATAAAAATACTGGAAGTATGAGATTATATACATACGACAGAGGGGAAAAATCCGAGATCATCATCAGATTGCAGTGTCAGTGAGAGTTACCTGCCTCTCTTTCATTCCTACTGGCATTCCACAGCAAGCTCCCCAGCTGCATCCTCATTATCCTGATTAAGATGCTTTGATGTGGATCGAGGAATTAACTAGCTTTTCATCACCAAGTACGCTCAAGATTGTGCACATCAAACAGCAGTTCAAAATGTACTGGTCCATGTTCAGTTCATTCAAATATGAATTCCTTAATGCTATCGAAAAATGAGGATCAAGCCCATGAGAAACCTTAGCACCAGAATACACGACAAACAACATAAACAATGCATGCATTCGTTGTAGAGATATTTTACCCAATATGAACGATTAGACCATTATTTCCCTTTAATGCAGAGCTGGGAAATTTAAAGAGAAAGGATTCATGAATTACAGGTATTATGGTCACATTCTATAGAATAAATCTAGAGCCAAATCCAATGAGTCTCTAGTTAACGAACCATCCACAATAGACAAGAAAAACATAGATGATTAACCAGCATAATCCTACATGTTATATCTACGATAATATGCTCTGAACCAAAAAGTTCGAAATTAAATAAATAATATGGCAGCAACTTCTGGAAGACCAGTTGTGTTCATATTTTTCTAGATTGCCATGCTTGAAGTACAGTAAAACAGCATTTCCCAAGATTGCCAAGACTGCAATCATCACCAGTAATCCCCACAGGAACATTTCCCATCCTTGAAATGGTGAAATCGTTTGTTATCCCTTACAATGAGCTCCCTCCCAACAATCCTAGACATGATCTTAATAGCATTGTGGCAGTCACCACAAATACGCAAGTTCTTGATGATCCTGAGAGGTGTTCTCGCGGGTGTGCTGATCAGACCATAAGCAATTGCCAGACGCTCACTGTGGTAGAGTAGAGCCTGCTCTTTAGCTTCTTGATCGATATCATGGAGCACATATCTCGTGTCTGGCACATAAACTTGCTCCTTCACCGGCTTGGACTCAACCTTCGGGGGAGGCAAACGGTACTCCAGGACCTTGTTCTTTCCCTCAAGCATGTGATAATCATAGCGCTTCTTTGGAGGAGGTGTTGGAATCTTGGAGGGCACTGCCTTAGAAGGATCAGTCAAGACAAGAAGCTCCTCCATGCGGTCTTCAAGGTCAACGTCTCCTTGCATTCTGGCAAGCTTCATCAGTGACTCCCATATTTCAGCCGTAGGTGCAAATGGTAGACGCTCAGCAAACTCCACCGCTTCATTCAACTGCCCCGCACAACCAAGCAATTCAATCAATCCGACATAATGCTCGGTATTTGGTTCGATCCCGTATTCCTTATGCATAGAATCGAAATGTATGAATCCTTCTTCAATGGCATCTGCATTGGCGCAAGCAGATAAAACTAGAACGAATGTTCTGGCATCAGGCTGTATCCCCGCCTTCCTCATCTGCTCAAACATCTGTAATCCATCGTCCCCCAGACCGTTTGATGCGTACCCACCAATCATCAGATGCCACGAGTTCATATCACGCTGAGGCATTCTCTCAAACAGCTGGCGAGCATCGGTCATGGTCCCCAGGAAAGAGAACCTCTCCAAAAAGAAGTTATTAGTCTCAACATCGGCACGGAATGGCGAGCGAACGAAGAATTCCTTGATTTTCTTGAGATCATCAAGCAACTTCGAGTTTGAGCAGCACCTGATGAGCGCACGGAATGTTGCAGCATCGGCAGTGACGCCCTGCTCCAAGAGCTTGACAGCCTCGTTTACCTTCCCCTCGCGTCCAAGAGCCGCAAGATCCACGGGGCCTGGAGGAGGGGCACTGGGGTTTTTATTGTCCGGGGAAGCTCGGTTGTCAACAGGTGCTCTCTGGCTCGGCGTTACCCACTGGTTTGGGTTCTGGTGTCGGTTCTGAGATCCCCGCTGGCTAGGGCCGTCATTTTGAAAATCTCGCTGGCCGGCAACTGGAGCCTGGTTGCTCCATTGGCTGGGATTTTGATTTGGGTGATTCCACTGGCGAGGATCCTGAGGTGGATTAGCGTTACGCGGCGGCCCCCACTGATTAGGATTTGGAGGCGGCTGGTTCCACTGGTTAGGGATAGGGGGAGGTTGGTTCCACTGGTTCGGAGGCGGCGGGTTCCACTGCCCGGCGCTCGGGGGTCGCTGGCCAGGATGACTCCACTGATCGGAGGCCTGGTTTGCCTGGACTCCCCTGCTGTCAGGAGAGGGAGTAGGGGGCGCCTGAGGAGACCACTGATAGTTGTTGGGGACGGCGGAGGAGGTGCTGAGGCACCTCGCAGGGAAGAGGTTCCGACCGGGGACTGCACAGATACGGAGAGGCCTAGGGCGTGGGATCTTGGCAAGGAGCTGGGGAGCGATGGAGAACCGCACCTTGTCTATGGCAGAGAACATGGAGCTGCCAGCTCGGTGCATCGCCACGCGGGTGCTCATCGCGCAAACCCTAGCCTCCGCTTGAGGACGACGGGGTTTTAGAGCTCTGTATTATCCTCTACCGCCGTAGAGATACTGACCTTGCCTGAGGCGCGCAGAATGAGAAGGAGATGGTGCTGGGGATGCACCCATCGAACGGTGCGAAATGCTCCCAACGATCATGTGAGAGAAGATATTCGAGAGGACAAAATAATTGGATTGGGCCCTCCCATTTTTGGATCCTGGCCATAATTAAAAGGCCCAAACGCATAAATTTACCTTTTATTTAGATGGACCCGGAATTCATGGCCCAATCCAGAGAGTGTGACCGACTTTCTGATCTGGACTTTTGCATAACCCACGTTGGCCCCATCTACGCAATGGGCCGATTAAGACCGGTTTTACGAGAGAGAATGGGACCGACCTCGTGTATTACATATTCGGAATATTGTAATAAATAATGGGTCGCCAGATAGTATTTTTATTTTTTAACCCATAATTTATGCTCCCTGCTGGATGCGAAGAGCCGAATCTTTTGAATAATAGTGGCCCAGGTAGGGACTAGTCGGCCCAGGGGAGTAAAGACAAATAAAAAATGAAAAAAAAAAAAATTCTATTGAGGATTTTTTTAAAATTATTGTTGTTGCATCGTTTTAATTATCGGGCAAGTCAAGTTAGGAATTTTCTATTTTATCTTACATACCTGTTTATTTTTTATTACAAAATAATGAGCTTAATTTTATCTTGCCCTACACGATAGATATTCTATTTTATACCCATCGATAAACTACATGTTTGGTTTCAATTAAAAAAGGTACCTTTTGTTACTTTAATAGATGAGGTATGATTTCCAGAAGAGTTTATTACTACCTGGTATTATGATTGCGAACTCTGGTTTATCAGAGGTCAGACGAGGCGGACGAAGGTGCATCGGCAGGAACACGGAGAGCGGAGGGTCAATGATCGATGGATCTCGGGTGGATGCGACGGAATGAAGGATCGACCAGAGCAAATCGTCGGGAAAACACGGATCGTCTCTGCTTCAGTTGTGGAAATGGCGTCTGAACTGTAGTATGAGAGGCGACAAGAAGAACACGGGTTCCTCCGGGGAGGGGGAAAGCCCCCCTCGGGGTTTATTTCTCACAGAAGCTGTTCAGATGACGTAGTCCGACCACTGGGAGATGAAGGAGGTATGGTCCATGGATTCACCTGGGATGTCCTCGTGCTTCGAGGGGCACCCCTTCCCTCCGATCAGCCTCGCCGGATTCCCCACCGCGGTGGTCCTCGGCGGCACGTCGATGAGCACCAGCGAGCCCGCCCCGATCTTAGCCCCTGCGCCGATCCTCACGTTCCCCAGGATCGTCGCGCCGGCGCCTATCAGCACGCCGTCGCCGATCTTGGGATGCCGGTCGCCGATAGCCTTTCCCGTCCCGCCGAGCGTGACGTGATGGAGAATGGACACGTTGTTGCCGATGACGGCGGTCTCGCCGACGACGACCCCGGTGGCGTGGTCGAGGAGGATCCCCTTGCCGATCCTCGCCGCAGGGTGGATGTCGACGGCGAACACGTCGGATATGCGAGATTGGAGGGCCAGGGCGAGCGGGCGGCGGGCCTGGGACCAGAGGATGTGGGAAACCCGGTGGGCCTGCACTGCGAGGAAGCCCTTGTAGTTGAGCAGGCAGTGAGAGAAGGACTCGCAGGCGGGGTCGCGGTGGCGGACGGCGAGCATGTCCGCCACGGCAGCGGCGCCGAGATTCGGGTGGGTGGAGAAGAGCTGGAGGAAGATGTCGTAGAGGAGGGTGGAGAGGAGTGTGGAGGAGGATAGCTTATTGGCGAGGTGGAAGGAGAGGGAGCGGGGGAGGGACGGGTGGGACAGCACGGTGGCGTAGAGGTAGCTCGCCAGCGCCGGCTCGGACTCGGCATCGCGGCGGGCTTCGGCCTTGATCTGGTTCCACACCCACAGCTCGTCCTCCTCCGACTCCGGCGGGGGGACTGTCGGCACGGCATCGGGCGACAGCTGGTTTCCAGCGGGCGGCGATGGCGGTGCGACGCCGGCAGATAGCTGATGCCCTACCGGCGGCGGCGGCATGGCTTCTCCTCTCCGATGAAGCGCCAGCGAAGGAACAGGGCGAAGAAGGAGACGCCGGGTAGCACTTTATCCTGGGACATGGGCCACAGACTAGACTAGACCCAACTGACGAAACTATCCCAATTTGATTATTTATAATGAACTTAAATATAATTGTCCATTCGATGTACTCCTTGTCCTTATTGAGAACCTGGACACAGGGCTAGTACAGGAACCTCGCAGCCTTCTCGTTGCAGCACACATGCGAAACCCCCCGCGTGAGACCTCGTCGGCCCTTTGTTTTTATCGGGTTGTCGCCGTCGCTGTTGCCGTCGCCGGCGAAATGAACACGACCTGCCCAATTAACGGCGAGAGACCTCGACAGAAGTTTTAGCCTTCGTTGCACCATGGGGAGCGGCGGCATCTGCAGTATGGTTGACATTCTCCGCCTGAAGTCCGAGATTTGGACGAGGTTTCAATGGTGAGAAAGAGAGAGAGAGAGAGAGAGAGAGAGAGAGAGAGAGAGAGAGAGAGAAAGAGGCCGAGCAATCGAGCAGGCAGCCTCCGGGCTCCGCTTCTCTGTGGGCTGCTGCAAGATCAAAGATTCTAGTCACTCTTATTCTCTTCCCTGGACCAGTGGAGGAGTCTCGTCACCGTCTTCTACATTGACTTGTGATGAAGGTGGGCTCCATTCCTCCGACCAGTGACGCGCACAGGGCCCCTCACCAGGTCTAATCTTCGGCTTTGGTTGCTTTAATTATCCTCTTCAGAGCAAGTTGATGACGATGAGCGCCGCACGGCAGTCGGGTTTGGAGCTCGGAAACGAGCGAGGCGGGCTCCGCCGTCCCCAGAAGAAGTCACAGGGACCAAACGGGCGCCCTCGTGCGGGCCCGGCCCCGGGGAGGAGGGGAGGGGGGGGGCTGACAAAGAGATGAGACAGCATGGGCCCAACTACAGCTCTGGGCTCCGTTGCAACGGACAGACAGCAGGACGTGAGCGTGTTATGCCCTCTACCTCCGAATTACGGTGATTGTGACTCGTTGGAAGACGGGCAACTTTCTACAGGCGAGTGAGTGATGCAGTTGGAGTTGCGTGGAACATAATATCTGAGTCTTGAATCCAAAAGACATGAATCTAGAACTTTGGCGGGTAGAAACTAAGATGATTTTAGGGTTCACAAAGTGTTGACTTTTAAATGGGTAAAAAATCAATCATAACCACCCCCTTAAAAATAAGATAAAACAAATTCAAAACGCCTTAACGACAGGAAAATTACTAAAAAAGTAACTCTAATGCGATATTCATATACTTTATTTGGGCCTAATTTAGTTTTGGGCTTTTTGGAATATTCTCATCCTCTTCGTATTCTACTTTTCGCATTTTCAGAATGACCGGACCACTGATTTTGGGCTTCTCTTTGTGCTATTCTTCGGCAGCGGAGCGTTTGGTGAGAGGTAAGGCGCCTGCTAGCTGAGCCTGGCGCGATAGAGAAGCCAAAGCGGGGCTCGAGGGAGACAAACTGGAACGAGTCATCTTCCCAATGCCATGTCGTCTCCAAGGGGAAGGGCGACTTTAGCCGTGGTCAGGAAAGAACATGATTTGACGATCTCAGAATGGAGATAATTGATGAACGGATAGCAGGATAGGAAACACCCCCGTGTCATGCATCAACTGAGCTTGGCACGGCCGTAGTCATGTCGGATAGACAGCGATGAGGAAATCTCCGCCGGGAGGGCGGCGACTTTCCATCAGTCACAGGCGCAATTTAGAGCTTCAACCCGTCCGGATTCTCTGAGATGCCCCGCCTCCGTTGTTTCTGTGTTCCCCCGTTCCTTCTTCGCTGCGGCCCTCTTTACTCATCTCCTGATACATTTCTTCAATCATGGGTTTCCAGAGGCGGACCCGAGCGTTGATGAACCAGTTGGACACCTGATACTCAGAGTCAAGAACACGGGTGATCAATAATCAGGTTTACGCCTTGAAATCTTTCTCTGATAGGTGGAGAAGGTAAAGACCCCAAATAAAGTCGAGGGCAGGAAGCACCTGGCTTCTAGTCAGCCCGCTCTTTATCGCAAGCAATTGCTTCTCGTTGTCTTTCGGGTACCTGACATCGAGATGGGCAGGTGAAAACAGTTAAATGGGAGGAAGACCCATCGCCTATGCTGGGGAAATCTTCGAACGACTTACGGGTGCAGGAAATTCTGAAACATCCATCCCCGGAGAACGGCGACAGATTTCTCCGGCAAGCCCCTCTGCGGCCTCCAAGATTGATGGTCGTTCCTCAGCTGCTGCAATGCCCACTGCTTCTGGAGGAATGAAGACTCCAAGGATTCCTCCATCTCGAACATAAATTCGCAGCTGAATTGCTGCCCGAGCAATACCATCTGTGAGGTGATTCTCTCCCTCAGGCTTCTGTAGAGGGCGGAGATCGTGTGGAGTACGAAGCGGGCGGGCGTCTGAGTAGGCGCCGAATTGGTCGCGTCCCGGAAGGCTGCTATGACATTTTGGACTTGATCCACGCACTCGTTGTACCCCTGATCGATCTGATGCAGGAAGAGAGATCGATGGCGATTTAGAGGGAAAAAATTAAATAAATAATTCAGGAGGAAGATTAGATTAGAGAGAGGCATCGCGCGGCACACCATTTGCAGCATACTAAAGAGCTCAGCTTTCACCGTCTTCGGTTCATGTGCTCTAATTTCCGCAGAATCATGCCTAAACTCATCAGAACTCAGTGGTGAAGTCCCTCTTTCGCAAAAGTAACCAGAATCATCCGGCTTATACTGATCTTCTAGCGCATGGCCGGTGACTTCCGCAAGTATTTGATGAGCCACATGAAGATATCGAGAACCCAACAGCGTCTGGGAGAAATGAACGTAACCCGAAGAACCACACTCCAAGGTACGCTCCTCGTTGCCGGGAAGAGGATGCCTCGATTCCAGCCCCAACGCACGGCGGACGTCATACGAAGGATTGCGAAGAAATTGGGAAGAGACCTGTAACTCTGCGGCGTCTCGGTACCTGTTGTCCTTCGATGTTACTTGAGTTAGGCTGGAGCAGCTCATTTCTGAGCACTGATCTGGAACGCTGGCCATGTTCATAGCAGGCTGTTGGCGGGATCCAAGAGTAAGAGAGAGCTCATTGCCAGGAACATTGTAAGTGTACTGGTCATCAGAAATCATAGAGGATTTGCTCGACACCCACGCAGAGTCGGACCCAGATGAGACTCGGTACGATGGGCTAACTGTCGCCAACGATCTGGCTTGTAGCATCTGCTGACCTATTTGCTCATCGTAGCTCCATCTGACATTTGACCCACTCACAGCTCTTCCCGGTACTAAAATCCCCGCATCGTCTTCTGCTCCAAATGCACAATTATCTGATGCTGAGAGTGATGAGTTTAGTCTATTGCGGCAACCATTGGAAATAAAAGAAGCCCTAATGTCCTCCGCTGGGATCGAGGAAGGAGGCCCAGAAAGAAGGCCGGCTATCGAAGCAGCAGATAGAGTGCTCTCCGCGAGATGTTCTCGCAGGTCAGGGTTACCAAAGGAACTGGAGGACAGGGACATTAACCTAGAGGAAGCCGCCATCTGAGAATTAACTGCATTACCATCACCAGTTATATGAAGACTGTTAATGGCCTCCTCCTGCAGAGTGGAGAACAAAGGGTAGCCACCCATCAGGTACGTTTGACTATTGTTCGTCAGCGTATCTGTAGGAACGATCACACCGGGACCCACATGCGGCAATGAATCCTCCATCGCCACGGTAGTCTGACTCAGTATTGGCATTGAGATACCAAATATCTCATTCTCCATCGCTCTAGATTTCAAGGAAAAAACAACTGAGAAATCCAACCAGGCTCGGCTCAAGAACACACGTTTTCCTGTTGATTCCCCTCTGAATCTGCAGCAGCTCGATAAAAACTCTTCTCAATCTAGCCACTAGCCATGTTTGCCTCCTTGAGGCGAAATAATCTGAAAATAAAGAATGGAATGAGATCAAACTGAATAAAAATCGCCGGCCAGCCATAGACGCCCAAGTTCGAAGAGGGAGATCATTACAAAGAAGTCAAATTTCCGACGAGTGGATCATTACTTGAAGTAAATTTCGCTGGAGAGATGGCGTGGGGTATAGTGCTGAAGCATGGAAGCTCCCTGGAAAGATGTGGGCAAAGTCAGATGTACTATTCTAGCCCGTACTTGTTATTAGCGTCGTAGTTACTATTACTGTTCTTGTGTCGGATCAACTGTTGGAGAGGTCACATGGTCTTCTGTTAAGGTCTTTATAAGCTATAAGTGCTGCACCTACTGCTACGAACTCATCTAAACTGGCTCGCGAGGCTCCTCAAATCAATAAACGTGTGAAAAAAATACAGAAGACAGAAAAAAATTGTGCGAATCACCCAAGAGAGGATATGAGCATTGAAAAGATTGGGATAGGAATCTCAACATCATGGGAAGCTGTGATTGTCTACATAAAAACAGTATGCAACCGGAAGCCCGTTGGAGGAGACACGAACGTTTCCTACCTAGGGAGAGAGAGTCTGAACAGTGCATGAGACGGATAGGGGGAGCAGACAATCTGCATAGATGTCTTGCGTGGAGGATTGTTACGTCCAGACATGGAATAACTCGAGATCTTTGTCACTAAATGAGGGAGAGCAGGAGAAAAACAGCAGCGGCAGGAGCAGGAGAATCAGAAGAAGCAGAAGAAAAGTAGAGATTTGAAGCAGACTACTGACCAACCAGAACGAGTCATTGAAGGATCCCAACCAAATCGAAACATATTGAAAGAAAGGGCGGAGACAAGCAGTCCAATAGAATCGCTAATTACGTCGATGATTCGTTTCAGAAGATGTTGACATTATCTTCGAGGGATAGTGCAATTGCGATCTCACGTTGCTAGAACGGGAAAAGACGTCATCTTTCGTCGGGAGAGCAGGAAATATTCCGAGCTGCTCGCCACAATTAAGCTGGAAGTATCAAGAGGAAGAAAACGGGAAGAAGCGAGGAGGATGGAGCTAACATGGAGTTCATGACGGGACGACACTATCGCCTAAGGAGCAAGAACGAAAGGAACCACGTACCAAGAGACACGGTCGCCCCCCTTCTCAGAACGTGAACCAGGAGCCAAGACAGAGTTGAGAACGAGTCCCCTGGGTCGCCTCCCAGCAACTTCCGGCGAACCTTATTTATTTCTCACAAGAGAGAGAGAGAGAGAGAGAGAGGCGCGGATGGGTGTGGGGTGAGAGGTGTAATTTTCTACTAACGCCCACGCTGGGCTCTCTCGCCACCCGAAAACAAGCAAGCAAACAATAACGAGTACAAGCTTTGCCAGGCATCTATCACTTCTCCTTTCCACGGCAAAAAAACATTTGCATAAACATGTAGGAGCAGCAAGAGCCGGAAGGCTGATTCTCTCTCCTGACCGATCAGGGAGCTGGGTTTTCACCCGACGCAGAAACAGACAGCGGGACCCAGGCCTGACGAGGAATCCATCACTTCCAGCCTTCCCAAAGCATAAGGCCGAGGGATATGGTGTAACTCTGTGAGACTGAATAATCAGAGAAGTAGGTAAGTCTTCTTTCATTCCTGCCAGGGCAAAGGGAAGAAAGAGAGAGATTCGGAAGTCATCGGAAGTCTTGCATTTAATTAATCTCCCTATTGTCAATCAATAGTTACAAAACTTATAAAATAACCCTAAACTCGGTGGTTTACACAGTAGCCGAGCCAACGCCTGGGAAAACTAAGAGTAGGGGGATCATTCCGAGTCCTACTAACTATGACTGCGGCAGAAGGGAGATCAAACCACAACACAAGACCAATCACTTCCATCACTTCTCATCCTCAAGTCATCACACCTACTAAGCTCCATTGAATATTCTATCATTTCCGTCGTCACCTACAAGCTGGAATTAAAGAGATGTAGAGCCATACAATTGGAGTCGTGGGATACCTTTGCCCACTGCACCACGGAAGCCAAGCCCTAAGGCAAATCATAGAAGCACTGGAATGAACAACCCAGAACAGGAGAAGGTGAAAGTGGCGCATTTACAGCAGAAGGGTCAAAGAAACTTTGGTGCCAGAGAGAGAGAGGTGCACGGCTCATCGGTCAGGACGATGCAGCTGAGTAAAAGAGAAGTCGAAAAGTTAGTGGGAAGAGGGAGAAGGGTCACACGGGAGAAGGAGCCGATGGGAGGAAGTTCCGGCGGTGGATTGCTCCTGTCCTACGGCTTCTCGGCCCCATCTCCCAACCCCCTTCCCTTTCCTCCCCTCCCCCAGCCCTTATCGCCTCTGCCACGCCCATCCTTTCTATCAACCTACCTCTCTGCAAACGATCGTTTGGTACCAAAATATCTGGAATCTCTGCAGAGGCTACTGTCCCCCAGCTGCTGCTGGTGGTTCCGCGCTCCTCTCCGGACAGAGTACTCGCTTTTTTACCAAAAAGAGGGCATCACTTGCAGGGAAGAAACGAGTGGAGAGGATGAATCCTATTTGAGTGTTGGGGAGAGAGAGAGAGAGAGAGAGAGAGAGAGAGAGAGGGAAGTAGACATAACAAAAGCGGGCCTTTTCATTTTCTTTCGAGTACAGGGAATGCGGCATTGGGAACTGAAGAACGGCAGTGTGATGTCAGCAAAATCTTATGTGATCTCTGACATATTATGAGGTAAGGAGATGATCACCTACGGATATATGGCCATCTGTGCGCCTCTAAAGGATTATCGGGTGAGCGCTCTGAGGCATTTCATCGAATGGCGTGGTCTGCAGAAACCCACGAAAGGGAGTTGCGTGTACTCTTACGCCAAAGGTCTCCGTAGACGACGAACCCGGCACATATCCTCCTCCTGTAGGGGAGAGAGAGAGAGAGAGACAGAGAGCGAAGTTGCCCGGTGGGACTTTCAGGTGGTTTTGCAGACCGTGGAGGCACCACTTTAGATGGGGAAGAACCGCCAAGAATGTCCCTTTGGCTCCCTATAGTACTCCGTCTGCTGCCGGCCTACAGCCCATTCGTATAGAGGCTCCTTTACGGGTGGGTATAGGCCTTCCTGTTTCCGTATCCGCAGTCAACGTGCCCGAGCCCCCTCCCCTTCCATCTCTCTCCGTGACCTTAACAAAACTCCAAGGTGGAGCTCGGAGCTGAAAAAGGGCCTCATCCCCAGAACCCGAGCCCACAGTCCCCTCACAATCATTTTTACTGTGAGATAACTTTCCGCCGGAGCTAGAACTGCCAGTCTAGGGCGACCGGAAGCTGCCCCGTCGAGTTCCTTTCGATGCTCCGCTGCGTTTCCCGGCATTCAGGGAATAGAACACCACAGGCGGTAATAGCTCCGACGTGGGCCATTTCACTCTTAGCACAGTAGCGAGTCCTTCCCTTCCTCCCTATTGCACAGTGGCCTAACCTGCTTCCCTACTAGGTGCTGTCTCCGGTATCTCCGACATGGATCGGCTCGCGGATTCACCGCTTTCGTCCTCTCCTCTCCGTCCTCCGCGGACCTCCACTTGGCCGCCCGTTCCATTATTGGCCGTCGGACTAGCCGGACGGTCACGGCACCCGATGGTGACCTCGTTGAAGACGATAAGGGCCCGGCCGCCATTTATTGCCAGAAATAATTCATCCTTATATATAATACAGCAATCGGACTTTGCTCTTCTACACGCATGTGCTCGCTCGGAGATCATTCATTGCATGAACGCCTGAGCTGGGCGATGAAGTCCACCGGTTTGACGAGCCCCCTCGAATTATTTGATGGGGACCCGAGAGAGAGAGAGAGAGAGAGCGGGGACACGTGAGGAAGCCCAAAACGGCTAGGCGGCCCGTCTGCCGACAGGGACGCGCCTGGGTGAATTAAAGTGGTCCGCCCACATGTGGCCATGTCTCCGGCGCTTATTGGACCTGAAGCTACTTGATGGGTCGTCGGCTATGCTAAGGCCTAGCGGGCCCAGGGATTCACCGATGACAGGACAAAGAAGTCTGACCCAATTAGTAGCTAGCCCTCTGGCGACGCCGTGTTTGGATGCCGGTGGGTCCAGATATGAAGGTAAAATTATAATTTTAAAAAAATCTTCGAACTGGATTCTGTGATCGTTATTATTGGGCCGACCTAGTCTGTACGTTCTAGGCTCATCTCCGGGCTCGTACAAAATCTGGGTCAGCTTGATTGCCTAGGCCTGGCCCGTTCTTTGGCGTAGGCCCAAGAAGCTAGGCGACATAGCTGACTAAACTAGGCCAAGAAAATTAGCCCGTATTGGAACAACCGAGAACTCTTCTTCGACATAGCTTGGAAGATTCGTAGACCCAACTTCCCCTCCGTAGGCAACGGTGATAACTCTACGTCGAAAAATAATCTTGCAAAATATGTCATTATTTCTTCCGTATGAATTAGCCCTCAAATGATTGTAGGATTAGTGCTAAGATCTTTGTGGTTGCTCGTTTTAGGCCCTGGTCGGTTACCTCGAAAGGAACATAGACATGACTGCCCAACGTAGCTGCCCAACTGGGCTCCTCTGTTCCCACCTAACCACCGCTGTGACGTGGGATACATTGGAAAAATTGTGAAGCCATTTTTTCTTACTACGGGGCAACTCTCTCTCTCTGTGTTACTGTGTATGCACACAAGTTTACGCAAAGGCAACTCAGGCCAAACCTCGTTCGAAAAGTCTGACCCGAAGCCCGTTATACGGACTTGGCTTGACGATGACGGGACTCGCAAAGGTCGAGAACTTTCAAGTTATCCTGAACAAGATTTCCGTGGCTCTTAAGACTTAGCTAGGATTCTTTGACGGCTTTCCACCGTTGAGTTGGTCGCTGGTGAGTGGAGGAAAATAAGTCAACTGAAGTAGCCTCTTTGTAAATGGTCATCTGGAGGAAGGGCCACAGCTGGTAGGTGGGATACGTACGCATCTCCGTCCATGTGGACCGGTTATGATGAGGGCTTCCTGTCTCCATTAAATACCTCCACCCATCCCCTCTTACCTCCACCACATCGAGTTCTCCCGTTGTTCCACACTCCTTCGTTCCTCTTCACGGTTGCTTCATCTTTTACAGGGACGGTCATCGGCGGGGATATCGGCATGGCGTCCCTGCAAGCTCGATTTCTCCTACCCGCCTCCCGGGGAAGGTTTCATTCGAGCCTTCGGACCCAGGGAAACTCCGGCGGTGCAAACCCCGCCTTCCGAAAGACGCAGCAGAGATCGGTGAGCGACGAACAGCCTGTGCAAGGAAAGGAGGCAGCCGTCTTCACCACAGGCCAGAATCAGGTTCTTGTGAATGGCGTTGAGGGGAGGGATGTGACTGCCAGGCTATACGCCGTAATTGAGGCCGCCGCCGACCGGATCGAAATGCACGACATCATTGGGGTCCAGAGGGACAACTGGAATCTCCTCCTCCTCAACTCCATCAACGCCATGACCCTCACCGCCTCCATCTCCGCCGGTCTTTCGTCCATCCCCCTGGACGGCGCCTCGCCGCACCACGCCGCCTTCAGGATCTCCTCCGCCCTCCTCTACTCGGCGGCGACGGTGATGCTACTGGCGGTCAACAAGATCCAGCCTTCCCAGCTGGCGGAGGAGCAGAGGAACGCCACCCGCCTGTTCCGGCAGCTGGTGAAGAAGATCCAGACGACCCTTGCCCTCCGCAATCCCACCCCTGCGGATGTGGAGGACGCCGTGGATCGGGTGCTGGCACTCGACACGGCCTACCCGCTCCCCCTGCTCCCGGGAATGCTCGAGAAGTTCCCCAAGACGATCGAGCCGACCGTCTGGTGGCCGAAACTAGGACGGGCGCGCAGTCAATCTCAATCACGACACAAGAATACGATGGCGGAGAGTTCACAAAGCAATAATGGCTGGAACGAGGGACTGGAAGGTGTAATGGCGGGTGTCCTGAAGATGTTGAAGAAGACGGACACGACGGAGTATTTGAGGTTGGGCGCCTTGGCGTTGAGCATCAACAAGGTTCTGGCTATCACCGGGCCCGCCCTCACGGGAGTAGCCGCTGCCGGGGCTGCATTGTCGGACTCCGCTATCCTCGGGCCCTGGCCGCTCCTGTTAGCCGTTGTAGGCGGGGCCCTGGCCACCGTGGTGAACACATTGGAGCACGGAGGGCAGGTCGGCATGATCTTCGAGCTGTACAGAAACAGCGCTGGGTACTACCGCCAACTGGAAGACGAAATCGAATTCAACCTGGGGGAGACGGACGTCGAGGAGAGGGAGAACGGGGAGATGTTCGAGCTGAAGATGGCTCTGCGACTCGGGAGGAGCCTCTCGGATCTCCGCAGCCTCTCGTCGTCGTCCTCCTCCCACAAGGTCAACGGGGTTGGCCACGAGAACGCCGGGAGGCTGTTCTAGGCGCCTTTGTTTCTTATTGATCCACCAACTACCTGCACCGACGACGTTTCTGTCGTTTGTATATAGCTTGTCACGACGATTCCTTCATACTATACAGACCCTTTTCTCCTCATACCGAACTTGTTATCTTGCTTCACCTCGTCCTCCGACCTGCACAACTACACAACCGGCGGTCAACGGAAGGGATGCCTCGTTGTCCTTTGATTCAGTCAGAGGAGAAGGGGAGGGGGGTGTGTATTAATTGAAGGGCACGTGTCTTAGAATCTTTCTAACGGAGGCGGCTGATGTCGTATACTACGCAACGTAGACGTCTATTAATGCAAAACATCCACCATCGTTAATCTTCAATGTCTAGGAAGTTTATTGAATATTTTGTCGTAGTGCAAATAATTCAGTTTCTTCCTCCGTGGCCGTATTCTCATAATGCGACCTCCATCTGTTGACCTTTGGGATATCCAGACTGTGGCTAGCTGCTTAGGGCGCGTCGTTGATGCAGGATTCGTGGTTGGTCTCAATTAAGCATTCATTATAGGAGTTGACGCCTACCGGTGATATGGTATTTCCAGAGGACGATTACGAATGCAGCCAAGAGCAATCGCGAGTACTGATTTCTCTTGGCTTCACAGATAGATATTAATTATTCTCTTTGTATTACTTTCTCTTTGCGCACAAAGTGTTTATTTACATCGATAAGATAGATTGCATTAATAGAATAAATTCACAAAAGTATATTAAGGCATATTAGTTAAGGTTAATTCAATGTGCAAACCAAATACAATTTCAACTATTCTTTAACTTTAGTCAATCCTTCTTAAAGTACCCAAATCTCTTAGAAAATAATATTTCACCATTCTTCATGTTTTTCTAAAGGCATGATTTTTCTTATTATTGACTTCTTTTCTTTTTTTAGATGTCAAGTTTCTTTACAATAATGACCATATTGAAATTATTAATTCTTATTTTTATGACGGGTAAATCATTAATATTACTTATTCTCATACCTCAATGAATTTGTTATATACCACCATCGGTGACTCTAACAAAGGAGTGTACCAGTGTTTACTTAGAACTTTCAAATTTCTTCATTTTACTTTTTCAAGAGGTTTTTAATTAGCTCACAATACCACATGTATTGACTATCATGGGCATCAAGCTTAACTGGTCAAATTTCTCCCAATATTTACACAAATCCATTCCAACTTACTATTATGACATAGATGTTTTGAAGGTTCTTTCTCATTACCTCAATACAATAGGACTCAATAGAAAAAAACCTAACATTTCATTGCTGTAAAAGACAGTTCTGATGTCATTATATGGTCAACCAGCAAGCAACTTATAAAAAAATTATCCCTTAGTTTAAGTATGCTTGGTTAAAGTTATAAATAAGGAAGCTAATCATTATATCATACTGTTAAGAAATAATTTTAAAGGCATAGTTCTTATAACTATTATAACAAGAATAGGATTTTATTTAAGCACCTTTTTAATAACATCAAGAATGGGATTTAATTTAAAAATCCAGCTTCAAGATGTACATACATATAAATTGCATGTCAGCATATTTAATAGTTAGGTGTATCTACAGATTATCCCAAATTGCATGGCTTGTCTGATATTTCATATTTCATCATCATACTACAAAGTTTCATTCGAGAATTCATCATCAGGGCATATACATATATGCAATGTGAAATTGCAATAAAGTTGCCAAACAACATGAATTATACTTTTTGCATATGGCTAGAATCAGTATTGGAATCTCGTAGTGTTAAAAGTAATCAGTTTAACCAAGATTAAATGTTGTTAAACTAGAACCAGAAGTGAACCATGAGTGAACCAAATCAACTTAAACTGGCCAGAAACAAATCTCAGTTCAACGAACATGATTAAGTCAATTAACATCACAGATGACTAGATTTGTCGGTCTAAACCTTAGGCTGTTTCTCTTAAATAAAATCTGATGTTTCAGGCAAAATTAACGACTTTTTGATATTCGAAACGTTTTCTATCTGTTCAATTGTGCTTGACGAGAACTCATCACACATGATCAAAGAGTCTGGAAGTCCTACTGGTTACATCTGTGGTGCCAGACAATGCAACTCCGAATAGGCAACGAACAACAGTCAATCAGATTCGAACTCACGTTGGACACGGAGATTTCGACTTGATGAACACATGATACGTGAGGGTAGGTGTGATTCTAAAAAAAATTGGATTAATAATGATTGTACTTAGATGAAATATAGTACTCGTCCCCGTAGTGCAACGCGGCGTTTCGATTGTTATATACAGCCAAAAAATGGGGGTCAGTGCGAGTGATTGGCTTGTCAGCGGCTGACCGAAGCGTCTAGAACAGCTTGCCAGCGTGCTCGTGGCCACCCCCGTTGACCTTGTAGGAGGAGGAGGACGACGAGAGGCTGCGGAGATCCGAGAGGCTCCTCCCGAGTCGCAGAGCCATCTTCAGCTCGAACATCTCCCCGTTCTCCCTCTCCTCAACGTCCGTCTCCGACAGATTGACTTCGATTTCCTCCTCCAATTGGCGGTAGTAGCCGGCGTTGTTTCTGAACAGCTCGAAGATCATCCCGACCTGCGCTCCGTGCTCCAGGGTGTTCACCGCGGTGGCCAGGGCCCCGCCCACGACGGCCAACAGGAGTGGCCAGGGCCCGAGGATAGCGGAGTCCGACAGTGCAGCCCCGGCAGCGGCTACTCCCGTGAGGACGGGCCCAGTGATAGCCAGGACCTTGTTGATGCTCAACGCCAAGGCGCCGAAGGTCAAATATTCTTCGGTATCCGTCTTCTTCAACATCTTCAGGATACCCGCCATTACACCTTCCAGTCCCTCGTTCCAGCCATTATTGCTTTGTGAACTCTCCGCCATCGTATTCTTGTGTCGTGATTGAGATTGACTGCGCGCCCGTCCTCGTTTCGGCCACCAGACGGTCGGCTCGATCGTCTTGGGGAACTTCTCGAGCATTCCCGGGAGCAGGGGGAGCGGGTAGGCCGTGTCGAGTGCCAGCACCCGATCCACGGCGTCCTCCACATCCGCAGGGGTGGGATTGCGGAGGGCAAGGGTCGTCTGGATCTTCTTCACCAGCTGCCGGAACAGGCGGGTGGCGTTCCTCTGCTCCTCCGCCAGCTGGGAAGGCTGGATCTTGTTGACCGCCAGTAGCATCACCGTCGCCGCCGAGTAGAGGAGGGCGGAGGAGATCCTGAAGGCGGCGTGGTGCGGCGAGGCGCCGTCCAGGGGGATGGACGAAAGACCGGCGGAGATGGAGGCGGTGAGGGTCATGGCGTTGATGGAGTTGAGGAGGAGGAGATTCCAGTTGTCCCTCTGGACCCCAATGATGTCGTGCATTTCGATCCGGTCGGCGGCGACCTCCATGACGGCGTATAGCTTGGAGGTCACCAGATCATCAGCTCCCGCGCCCGCAGCGTGACCGCGGGCAGGGGGTTGGTAGGTGGGCGCTTCCGTCGCGGCCATCTTCAGCGGATCTGCTGTGCTCACCGAGGCCGGCATTTTCCGGAGGGAGAGGCTCGTGTCGCCGAGATGGACCTGAGGACGGGAGATGGCTTGAACCCTTCTTCTTGCCGGTTCCCGCGATGGAAGAGGAGCACGGAGGAGGGCTGTTGCTTGCATGGTGGCCATGGCTGATCCGCTGGAGATGGATGCTGTGGCGAGCGCGCTGCCTAGTCGTCGTCGGCTTGAACCTTCTCCAGAAAAAGGGGGAGATGGGGAGGAGACTCTGGAGCGCGGTTGCGTCGTAGATAGAGTTGAGGAGAGGGGATGCGGGGGCGGGATTATAAAGGAGCTTGCCAAGCCTCTAAAGGAGCCACACGACTGGTCTCCCTTTGAATTGTTCGTGTCACACGGTCTTCTGTTTCGTCTGTTGACCAAGAAAAGAGACTGTTGGTTGAAACATTCTTGGTCCCCCAGCCCTCCTCCCCCCACCTACTCCGAGCTTCGAAACGCGTTAGGACGCCGGAGCAGTTACTCGACTGTTATTAATGGAAATACCGTCAGAATTTATTATTGTCTCCTTTCGGAATCAGTCGTGGTCTTACAAAAATGTTCTCACTCTTTCTTTTCTATAAATATAAATAAAACGTCCCCCTCTCGAAATTTATACAATTGATGACAGATGATATGACCGGTATTCTATTGGCCATAGACCAATAAAAAAAGAATCTCATTGCCTGGTAAACAGACGACCTTGTGACACGACCAATTCAAAGGGAGACCAGTCGTGTGGCTCCTTTAGAGGCTTGGCAAGCTCCTTTATAAGTCCGCACCCGCATCCCCTCTCCTCAACTCTATCTACGACGCAACCGCGCTCCAGAGTCTCCTTCCCATCTCCCCCTTTTTCTGGAGAAGGTTCAAGCCGACGACGACTAGGCAGCGCGCTCGCCACAGCGTCCATCTCCAGCGGATCAGCCATGGCCACCATGCAAGCAACAGCCCTCCTCCGTGCTCCTCTTCCATCGCGGGAACCGGCAAGAAGAAGGGTTCAAGCCATCTCCCGTCCTCAGGTCCATCTCGGCGACACGAGCCTCTCCCTCCGGAAAATGCCGGCCTCGGTGAGCACAGCAGATCCGCTGAAGATGGCCGCGACGGAAGCGCCCACCTACCAACCCCCTGCCCGCGGTCACGCTGCGGGCGCGGGAGCTGATGATCTGGTGACCTCCAAGCTATACGCCGTCATGGAGGTCGCCGCCGACCGGATCGAAATGCACGACATCATTGGGGTCCAGAGGGACAACTGGAATCTCCTCCTCCTCAACTCCATCAACGCCATGACCCTCACCGCCTCCATCTCCGCCGGTCTTTCGTCCATCCCCCTGGACGGCGCCTCGCCGCACCACGCCGCCTTCAGGATCTCCTCCGCCCTCCTCTACTCGGCGGCGACGGTGATGCTACTGGCGGTCAACAAGATCCAGCCTTCCCAGCTGGCGGAGGAGCAGAGGAACGCCACCCGCCTGTTCCGGCAGCTGGTGAAGAAGATCCAGACGACCCTTGCCCTCCGCAATCCCACCCCTGCGGATGTGGAGGACGCCGTGGATCGGGTGCTGGCACTCGACACGGCCTACCCGCTCCCCCTGCTCCCGGGAATGCTCGAGAAGTTCCCCAAGACGATCGAGCCGACCGTCTGGTGGCCGAAACGAGGACGGGCGCGCAGTCAATCTCAATCACGACACAAGAATACGATGGCGGAGAGTTCACAAAGCAATAATGGCTGGAACGAGGGACTGGAAGGTGTAATGGCGGGTATCCTGAAGATGTTGAAGAAGACGGATACCGAAGAATATTTGACCTTCGGCGCCTTGGCGTTGAGCATCAACAAGGTCCTGGCTATCACTGGGCCCGTCCTCACGGGAGTAGCCGCTGCCGGGGCTGCACTGTCGGACTCCGCTATCCTCGGGCCCTGGCCACTCCTGTTGGCCGTCGTGGGCGGGGCCCTGGCCACCGCGGTGAACACCCTGGAGCACGGAGCGCAGGTCGGGATGATCTTCGAGCTGTTCAGAAACAACGCCGGCTACTACCGCCAATTGGAGGAGGAAATCGAAGTCAATCTGTCGGAGACGGACGTTGAGGAGAGGGAGAACGGGGAGATGTTCGAGCTGAAGATGGCTCTGCGACTCGGGAGGAGCCTCTCGGATCTCCGCAGCCTCTCGTCGTCCTCCTCCTCCTACAAGGTCAACGGGGGTGGCCACGAGCACGCTGGCAAGCTGTTCTAGACGCTTCGGTCAGCCGCTGACAAGCCAATCACTCGCACTGACCCCCATTTTTTGGCTGTATATCAGTATCAAAACTATTATTCCTCACAAACGAACGTGGAGTGGCCCCTCCCATCAACTATACACGTATCAACAAACCTCTATTACCCTTATTCACAACTTTTTTTGACGAGGGGAAAGAGAGAGAGAAGAGAGAGCTCTCACGAAATAGAGAGAAGAAATCTCCTACGAAATATAGCGAAAGAGAGGAGGGGAGAAATCTCACGTGAGACGGAGAGAGAAAAATCTTACGAGAGAGGGAGAGAGAGAAAGGTTATTATATATTCGGCCACAAGCCTACTACAGTTGGATTCTCTCTCATCACACCCCCACCAAAAAGAAAAAAAAAAGAAAAAAAAAGAAAAAAACCTTGCGGTGGAGGCGATATATTATGTTATTATATATTAAGCTGTCATCTTTCTTATATAATATTTTTGTAAAAATATCATTTAATCACCCATTCTACACTCTCAAGGGCCACTCAGAGATGCTTTAATATTTATACATTATTCTGGCATTATTCTCTCATTGTTTATAAATAATTATTACAGTTTATGATGTGGTGACTGCGCCTCATTGTTTACCTGCTCAATCCACCGTCAAATCAAGACAAAAGGAGTATAGATCTAACGGTCGAGATACATACTTATCAAGTGGCACGAGAAGGCATGAAGAAGGATCCACCATCTACGCAAGAGGGGAGTGACTCAGCCATTGGAACTGCTCATGGGGGTTGTTTCTCTTTGGAGGATGTCTGCAGTCTGTGTGGAAGAGGCGACTGTATTCTGTACAGAGTCGAATAAAATTGACTCAAAGCTTACACTGTGTCATAGCATTGGACTAGAAGGAAATGAAAAGCCCTTGAAAAATATAAAATTTACATAAATAAAGGCCGGGGTTGAATGGGCCATAAAAAAATCAAAGATTCCTTTTTTTGTTTGCCAGCCAAATATTCTCAAAATAAAACCTCACCTCGGTCCTGAATGGTATTCTCACTTGGTCAAGGTCAACGTCCTAGCCCGGAGATTCAGGAATATTCCCCTGGAGCAAGCAGAATCATCCATCATCGGCCATTTCAATTCCAAGCAACCACGAAGACAAGGAAGACAAGACCAAGATGAAGATGAACCCAGTACCAGCAACATGCTACAAAGCTGTGAAAGACAACTCGGAACTTCAGTGGCATGTATCTGTAATTAACCCATCCCACCACTGGCCAGAACTGAGAAGAAACAAGTTAATTTTGACAGAAATTAGTTATTAAGAGTACCTGGAGATTTATACAACGTAAAATTTATAAAAAAATAATTATGCAGACCGTCCATGCAGTTAATTGCACCGAAGGATACTCCTTCCTCACTTTGTTCCTGACCTGGGACCATGGTCTACCTAAATATTGGACACGAGATAAACCAGTATCAGCATCAGCGTCTAAAGTCAAGTGAATGATCCAAAATTCGTGGAGAGTCGAATAAACACAGCAGCACGCAGTTTAGAAGCATAGTAGATTCATCATTCCATTTCTGGGTGGATCATTTAGCACCTTCGTTGACATTATTTCTTCATTTTTCGATTTAACAAATGGTTTTTACTACCAATTATCATAAAAACAGCTTCCCGGTTCAACTTGGTCGAGATTTTCCCAGCTGAGCCAGCAGAGAAAACACTCCGATAGAGAAAATCGTGAGACAACTGGTGGGTATCAGAGGTCTTCTCCCATCTGGCCAGAAAGGTGCTCAAGGCTGGAAATGACCAGTTAGAGAAAAGGATATCATGCCAATCCATTTAAACCTGGGAAACCAATGCCAACATTTCAATATCAAATGATGATAGATACTGCATAAACTGTTGATGCTTACCCTCAATAATCAGACCATAGTAAACTAGGAACAGAAAATGGGTACAAGGGGATGACGTCAGTTGCTCCAGCAACACCTAAGATATCATTACGATGTAGCACATGACTGGAAACATCAATAGGTATAACATAATAAATGAGGAAGATGACCGAGAATTTCCAACCTTCTTAGCTACTGTCTTCTTATCTTTCTTCCCCTTGAAGATGATATCCATCAGCTTGTGGAAAAAGTGCCCAACAGGCCCAGCATACGCAAATCCAAAAAGCTGCATTTCAGAAAGTTCAACCAAGTGGTTCAATTTGAGCTAACCAAAGAGAAATGTAGTATAAGAATCAGAGCTGCTAGACCACTGATACAAATTCTTACTCTAGGGCTTGGAAATCTTTTGAAAAGTTCTGTCCTTCAATTGCAGGACATGCAACCAGGATCAGGTATTCAATCACCTCGGCATTAATGTGTTGTACACATCGATGCATTGAGATGAACTTTACGTTTTGAGATTTTTTATGTTTTCTTCAAAACGACCATGTTGTTTATTACAGAGGATAACAGATCACGTACTAAGAGGACGATTTGACTGCTTCTGCAGCGTTTTTTTTTGTCAACGTTCTCATGTTACTAGAAAAAGGTCTGAAGTCTCAAAATCAGCATTATCTAGCACCTTTACTAAAACTTTCCGAGGCCATAAAATAGGAAAATATTAGTGATACGTGATGATGACTGGATGGCTTCAAGGGGCTTGCTCCCTTCATATTAAATGCTTATATTCTATTCAAAAGTACCTTTAAAATGCATATCTCCGGACAGATACTTTTATCACCATGTCGAGCATTCAAAATGGAAAGAAGAAAAGATGAACATGGACCTTTGAGCAACTTGTTATGAATAGATGTAACGAGAAATACATTCTAGAGAAAGAGAAGGGTGACACCAATTGGCTCTTAGTCGTGTTGAATCGCTTGATAATTCAGGACCGATCACATCAGCTTCCTTTGGGTTAGTTTAAATGTACGGCATGGTACACCGGTTTGCATTTGGATCCTCAGGTTCATTCTCTCAAGTAAATGGTAATGAATAAAATCGTATATGCAGCTAAAACAGTCGGCGATAGGCCAAATATTGAGGGGGAGCTCTACCTCCCGCCTATCCTTTCTTTCATCGTCACACTGTGATTCCAATGAAGGTTTCATCAGTTAGTGATCGAAAGATTCCCCTCTTCATGCAATCTGTTTCTGAAACTTGAAAACACAGTTCACCATAGAAGAAGAGAAATCCAGAAACGTCAAATAAGAAGAAGGACATTTGGATGATGACCCATCACATACCACTTTAAGAAGGAGACGCCTAAGCTGGATCCTCGGTATGCCGGAGAGCTTCTGCGCCACCGAATCGCTGATTCCGGTCAGGACGCCGGCGGTGATGGCCTAACAACCCGTCGAACGAAAGAATGACGGCAAACATCTCAATGGAACTCTAATCGCATGGACACGAAAGGGAACGAAATAAAAAGAGAAATGCCTGCCCCGACCTTCGTGCGCAGGGGATGGAGCTGGAGCTGCAACATATACTGCTCCAATCCCTTCTTCGCCGTTGCTGCCATCTCTCCCCAGAATCCTTCGTCACCAGCCAACGCGTAGTAGCAGCTTTCAGGAGCAGCTGGACGGCGGAGCGAGAATCCAGACGGCGAGTAGTCCTCAACTATCCTCCAGTCAACTCCCCTCGTTCAAATGATAGTAAGAAACCTCTTGATTTTTTGGACCGCAAGGAGAGTGCCGATATCAAAAATCTCTTGATATTTTTTGGTGCTTCTTAAGACAGAGTGGACACCACCTGTAGGCCATCAGACTGGGCCGACCAAGAGCATGGACAAATTTGATGGCCGCGGTGACATGTGGGTTGAGTGGAGCCCTCTTCAAGATGTGAGCAACGTCTTCAACAGGCCTACCCTGGGCGTGGAGTTCCTTCAGCGTTGATGAATCATTTTCGGCAGTTGTCACCTGATGGAATGAAAGTTTAGCGGTTTTCAGATCTCTAGTAGCTATCACTTTGGTGGAGATGAGTTCAATGAAGGTGAAACGCATCTTAGAGAGCTTCATCATCAAGTTTGTGTAGTAAGAAGATACTTTTTATTGCAATTGATATGCTTTGAGGAGACAACAAATCATATCTTAGTGGATCACCATATTCTTGATGATGGCTTATTCGTTAATCAACTAAAGATGATTTTCTTGAATAGTCTATGATTTTAATATTTGAAATCATTGGTCAATTACTAACAATGATTCGTAAATATCTTTGACATTTTTTTGTCAATGATCAAGTGATTCTAGTGACTTGATCATTGATTCATGTTATGTTGAAAAATCATGATTTAATTATATAAAAAATATAAGTTATTGCTTTGACTGGATTCAAACTTTGTTGATTGCCTAACCATTCAAAATATTTATCATAATACCCTTAAATAGTGACATCATAATTATGTTTCTTTCTCTAAATGTAAGGGTATTTTAGGCAAAAAATGGTATACTTTTGACCCATGTGCAATTCCCTCTGAGTTAGCTGCCAGGTTATAGTTGGCTAACTGCCCCCCATTTTTCTCATTTTTTCTATTTATTGTAGCTCAAAACATTTAATTTAAAAATGATAGAAATTTACATAAAATTACAAAATTAACTAAATATTTACAATAATCAACTAAAAACCTTTTTTCTCACTTTAACATAGATATAAGTATATTAATCATGAGTTATGGCTTAAAATATATTATTAATTAATTATTAACTCATGATTATAAAGACTTATTAATAGTCAAAAATATTTTGTCTCAAAACTATCTATTAGCCTTATTTCTATTAAAAATAATTTATGATATAAATTATATGGTAATCATTGATAGCAACTTTGATGATATTTATGATAAGGTGATGAACACAAAGATTAGTCATGTTAAAGAGTGCAAAGCCTTTTATCATTTTGAGAAAGGACATAGAGCTGTCATACCTACTACAACTAAATATTTTTAGTTGTATCATCATTTTGTTAGTCATATGCACTTTTAGGATGCTGAAAACTATGCTTTCAAATTTATTTTCTACGATGAATGTTGAAAATTTTAAATGTGGTGTATGTGAGTTGGCTAAACACAAGCATATAGTGATTGTGTGATGAAAGGAGTTCCACTCCATTCACACTTATCAATAGTGATGTGTGGGGACCATCAAATAGTCCTAATATTTTAGGATCAAGATGATTTGAGACTTTCATAGATGATTATTTATGAATTACATGGATCTACTTAATAGATCATAAATATGAAGTCAATGAAATACTTTAACTATTTTACTCACTAATTAAAAATCAATTTTAAATAACTATTAAGAAATTTAAGTCAGATAATACTAAATATTATTTTAATCATACAATAACCAAATTTTTTAGAAGGGAATAATCTATTCATGAATCCTCATGTGTGAACACCCCGCAACAAAATGGGGTGGCAAAGAGGAAAAATAGACACATACTAGATATGGTAAAAAAAATTTGAGGAGAAGCAATCTTATATGTTCACCTCATAAATCATTTATTAATTTGGGTTTTGGAATTTAATAATCCATTAGGGGCTTTATCATCTCATTACCAACATACTCAATTGAAAATGAAGTTTCTAGGATATTCAGATGTGTCACACATGTCCATAATCAATATCAAGTGAAACAAAACTTAATACACATGCACTAAAGTTTATTTTTGTTAGTTACTCACATAGTAAGGTATGATATCAATTTTATCATCCTATATCAAATAAATATTTTATTTTGATTGATGTAACTTTTAGTGAACATGAATCTTTCCTTAAAAACATTTTCCTTGGGGGAGAATGTTTACTTAAAAATGATAATAGAGAACAATAAGTTGTTAACTTCTTGTTACTAGTAGCATCTTTATAAGAACTTATGCCTCAAATGTAACTTCAGAGGAACTTTTACTTGATATACATTTGCATGACTCTAAGAATAACCAAGAAGATCCTATTCAATCCTCTAACTTAGAGGAAATTATTGAAGAGTAATCTATCTTAGAAAAGGAAAAAGGAAATGTTTTAAGAACCCAAAGTATTTAATTTGTCAATTTATGTCTTTTAAATATTTATATCCTTCATATGGAGTATTTCTTACTTCTCTAAATGCCACATCTATTCCATCAAATGTTACCAAAGCATTATCTAGTGCAAAATGGAAACCTGCAATAGATGAGGAATGTATTAGAGAATAATCAAACTTGGGAATAGGTGAAGTTGTCAAAGGGAAAGAAAATAGTTAGATATAGATGGGTATATACTAGTAAATACAAAGTTGACGAGACAATACCAAAGTATAAAACTATGTTGGTAGCTAAGGATTATTATACCCAAACTTATGAGGTAGGCTATCTAGAAATATTTATTATATTGGAAAAGATGGATATTATTAGAATTTTATTCAGCCAATTATAATTGAAATTTTCAATATTTTGATTTTAAAAATATATATTTATATTTGAAGAACTTCATGAGAAAATTTATATGGATGTTTCTCAAGGATTTAAAATCGGTTCTAAGGATGATGAGTCTGTAAATTAAAGAAATTACTATATGAGCTCAAACAATCCTCAAGAGCTTGGTTTACAAGATTTATAAAAGTAATGTGAGAGATATAAATAGTAATGGAGATCATATTTTACTATTAAACATGTCATGGGAAATTACAACATTGCTAGTTTATGTAGATACTATAATAATAATAGGAAATTATGAGAAAAATAAAAATCTTAATTTTTATTAAAATAATTTGATATTAAGTTTTTGAGAAAATAAAAATATTTCCTTGGTATTAAAGTAACTCATTTGAAATAATAAATATTTATCTCTTAATAAAAATATATTATTGGCCTTCTAAATGGGATAAACAAATTAGCTTGTAAACTAGTAATTACTCCAATAAATCTAAATCACAAATTTGAGAGTGAGAAAGGAAATAACTTTATAGATATGTTGAAGTATCAATGTCTCATGTGAAAATTGATTTATCTTTCTCATTCTAGACCATACATCTCATATTCTAAATGTATCTTTAGTCATTTTATGCATGATCGGAAATAAGTTCAACTTTTAGTGGCAGATAAGATTCTCAAATATCTAAAAAGAACTCCCAATAAAGGATTGTTATTTAAGAACAATCATAATATGTTGATTATGCGTACTTGATTGTCAATTGATTGTCAACTTAAGACTTTTGAACACTTCTTTGAAGCAACCTCTTTACTTGGAGGAGCAAGATGTAAGAAGTGGTGGCCAAATAAATGCAAACTCATAATTTTGAGCTATGACATAAAGAATATGTGAAATGTTGTGGATGGAAGAATCTTAGAAGATCTCATAATCAAGTGACAAAGTTCATTTATATTATATTGTGACAATAAATATGCATAAGTATTGCACATAACCCAATATAGTATGATCAGACCAAGTATATCAAGATTAATCAATAATTCATCAAGTAGAAGCTCAATAATGACATGATCTCCACACCATACATCTCAACTCATCAACAATTTTTAGATAATCTCACCTAAAGATTAGGTGGACCGCCCTTCTAGAAGCTCACATCCAAGTTAAGATTAGAAGATGCCAACTCACCAGCTTGAGGGGGAATGTTAGAGAATGAGAGATTACGTATATAAAATAATATGTTTTTATTTATGTATATATATAGATATATTTCATATTTATGTCACTTCTATTCACAAGTGAGTCAAACTTGGTTTTCAACATAAGTGAAATCAATTAATTTGGATCTGACTCGTATCAAATTGTTGTAAATAGTTATGCTAGACTTTTCATTTTTTAATTATTATTCTTTTTGCTTTACCTTTCTCTCTTTTCTTTCATGAGTCAGTGGCTCTATCACTACCATTGTCACCTTCTCAAATGACCTCAACTACTTTAATAAATCAAATTAGCATAATTAAGAAATCATCTAAGATTAAGGTCCTCCTAACAAATAGGAAATCAAGGAGACTCTCCACAACTATATAAACAAATAGACTTATTAATAAGTTTTCATTATTATGAGTTAATAATTTAATAATAATATATTTTAAACCTTGACTTACGATAAGTAGATATATTTATGTTAAATTGAGAAAAGTGGTTTTTAATTAGTTGATGTAAATTTTTAATTAATTATGTGATTTTATGTGAATTTATTTAATGTTATAGTTATATTTTTGAGATAAAATGAATATAAATAAAATAAAATATATAAATATATAAAAAGGGGGGACCTACTGGCCAATTAGGCCTGAGTAGATCAGAAGCACACTCAAGTGGAGCTGTAAGCATGTGGCATGAACATATAAAGGACAATTAGTGAGGGATGTGTGCATCACTCCCCTTCCATATCATTGGTGGCCAGCCGAGCATGAGGTAAGGAGTAATTGTACACATATGAGAAAGATAGTTATTGATGACAAAAACTTATATTATTATATATGCATATCAAATTATCATAAATAATCAATGTGGGACTAAACTAATGCCATCATTCACATGTAATTTTA